ATATTTAGAAATTCAAAACTTTAAAGAATTCCTGGTCAAAACAGTTCATGTACACTATAAATAATGCAATCACCATAACTCTCAGTGTCTCGTATGACCTATTAATCATATGAAACAAAGAAAACTTTATGTACCAGTCTCAGAAAACATGTAATACAAATTCATGGTTCCGACTACATCAATATAATCATGACTCTCATATTAATTGATAAAATCAATAAATGAAATCTTTAGTTTTGACAACGAATTCTTTTAAAATATAATTAGCAGATAACTTTCGATTGTGAAGAAAAAACATATTTCCTCATTGGTTCTTTAATTATTTGAAAACGATATCCAACAAGTGATACTGTTTTAAGAATTTTATCATATGCCTGAGGCTTTAAGATAAAATTCTCACAGCAATTTAGCTCTCAAATATAATTTCAAATGCAACGCAAATCAAATGCAGATTATCCATAGAGATACATAATTATAGTTTCATTAATATATGATTATAATAGCTATACAATAATTGTATACACATACATGACATATGACATAATTTCCATAATGCTTCTCATTCATCATGAAAAATCAAAAACAACTCATAAAATCATTTAAGTACAAGTCTAAAATAGCATTCATGGGCTTTGTTTACAATGAAATGTTGCTCTTTTTATAAAGCATGTACTAAGTGTTTTGAATTTGTTAACATCCATGTACTTAAGGTAGGCAGATAAGTACATATCATCATCAATTGTTTTATTCATATCGTAGTCTTTCTGGAGATCAAGTCATCTTGTAAAATATATCTGAAGGAATTTTTATCATCAAGTTTATATGTAGAATACTGGTTTTCCATACACTTGGTAGTATTTTTAAATTTTGTCACAGATTCACTGTTCCTTTTTCATAAATGGCAATATAGATATACATACATACATACCAGGGACGTAGGTTACCATTCTTGTCATACTCTTTGTCATTCGAATTCAGTCTACGTATACAATCTCTATAAGCTGGGGTGATAGAGTGTTTTTGTCGGGTCTAGAAGAGATACCACCACGGCATATACTGCGTTTCTTTCGTCCTACACGTAAATTATTGCCAAACTTTAGGAACTTCTCGCAGGCTAAACTGTCGGGCCATTCGAAATCGAAATCATCCATAAGATTTTCACACCCTAAGCATGCCTCTACGCATAAGGTACGACAATGGGGAAGCGCCTTCTCCATGATAGTGCACACTGACATACACAAAGTGCACAGAAATAACTTCGTAACTGGATTACAGTTCATTTCTTACAAGCGGGAAAAATTATCGGTTTCGAGTTCAACATCGTCTTGATTCTGGTGATTTAAATTGTTCGGCATTATTGTCTCATTAAACATTCATTCCAGACATAAGGTACACCTTAGGTTTCAGTGCGATTACATTCTACAAAAGCTGGTTTTATCTAATGTCTTGAGTTATTATATTAGTAGGACTTGTTACCTACCCGGTTACCTGATATTCTCATGATGCGGTAAGTGTCTATCAGAGTCGCTTATTTGTGAATATGCTCCAGTATTTGAATTAAGTCCTCGATGATTCCAAATAAGAAGAAAGTTCGCAACAAGATGTCGCACAAATATTACACTGTAATTTCGCCAATCCAAGTCTGATTTTTTACAGTTTGTCTCCCAATTATCCCGATATGGTCAGTTTTATGGTGTACATGGTCACAATCATTATTCGATCATTATTGAAACATCCACGAAAGGCTTAATTGTTTGTATCCAGCTATGGTAAAATATTGTTTCGCCCTGTCTGTTCAATCAGTTCCAAATTAATTTTTTCTTTAAAATATAATAGGCGTATCAATAATCCTTTTATAATGAAGTGTTCATGAGGCCGGGATCCTTTAGAGCGTCCACCATGTTATATTTACGTTATGAGATGTTGTTATATAAAATCCAACATAAACTGTTAAATGATGTTCCAATATTTATTAATGTTCAGGATAAATCCTACGCTAGTTGTAAAAGTTACATGTTGATATTATCCTGTTTGTGAGCTCAAAAGCTAACGGTTTTAAGTGTTAATTTAGAATTTCGATAGCAAGTTATGTATTTTTGAAGTTTAAATCTAAATGATGTTTGTGTTGCTTAAACCAAGAATGTCCGAAAAGTGATTCTGTACTGGCAAGATGCTATCTTAACCAGATTCAAAAGAATGTTAAGACCGCCTCTTTTCCATATAAGGAATGCTAACGAAAGTAACACTCTTAAAATTTGAACCATACAATAACCCTCACCTCAGTCCAAGGACGATCTGGATCGGAGGATTTGGTGACCTTAACCCAGCACAACTCGTTCCCTAATTTCAGCTCAGAATAATCATGGGCTTTCAACTCTTATATTGAAAGCCCATGGAATAATGTATGACATTTCACACCGTTCCAAGGTTTAACATCTTGAAACACAGAGGAATCTTTGAGGAAAAGGAGTGATTTGGGATCATGCTCAGTGTAAAATGTAGTTGGCCAATTGCTTTTTATTTCTCTAATATGTCAGGCTCACTTTTCTAAAATTAGGTTTATTTTTGAAAATGGGTCCATCTTATGCGCCCTAACAAGGGGACATCTTGTTATCGTTCTCTTTTAATGATCAATAGCCATGGCATATACGGTGCAAAAGAGATGTAATGAGTATCAGAATGACATTGGATCCGGATATATAGAGATAATCTGGTAATGTTGGCACTTCGTAGCACCTGTCTTCTGAATGGGGATCAAACGTGTCGCTTTGGTACACAGAGTTTAGTTATGTTCTTTGTATGATATATTGAAATGGGTTGGAGTGAGCAGAATAGCAAGGAATGCTAGTAATTCTCCATGTAGAAGTTTAGTTTACAAATGTTATTCATGTTTTTGTGATATGGAGATCAGTGGGGGATCATGGGAGCGTATCTCGTTTGCTTTGATTAACGCAGCTGCTGTGTGTCGCGTGTCGTCAGTTGTCCCATCAAACGCCGGAAACTACCCGGAGAATCACCGTCAGATATAGAGATCACTCTCATTAGTGATTAATGCAATCTTTCTGCAGCACCAGTGGTCAGTAGATCGAGTAATTTTGGTTCTATACGGTCTACCCCTCCTCTAGACCCCCAATTGAAAACATGATTTAAAGTATATCATTAAACTGGTGTTGCGCAGCGGCACCCTCCCCGGGCGCACTCTCCACCATTGTGACCACTGTCATTTTTCTCAACACGTTGAAACGGATAACAAGGGACGGGGTGCAACAAGAGGGGTGTTCCATTATCCATCTAGGCCTACCAGTACTATTCTGCGTTCTGAAACTTCAACGAGTCCTGTGCAGACCTATGCATGACGTTTGCGCAATACGATATCTTAAAATACCATTTTACCATTTCATCTGTAGAAAATACCTCTATCATGTGGAATATTACTGGTTGCCCATGGGCCTTAGGGAATCAATGTATTGAATACAAGAACATAACCGTTATCACTCAGAGGTTAACTGTTTTCAATTATTTTTTTAAACAAATTGTCTCAGTTATTTTTCTTTCCAATCACCATCATCCCTCAATCACGCACTAGGGAAGAACAAATGTGTAAGAGTTGTGCCGCCAGACGATACAGGTGTGCCAATATTTTTGTAATTATGTTAAAATCAAATTCTAAATAAATTCTGTCACTTCCAATTCTCACAAACGTGTAATTGATTCTATTAACGCTAATAGGAACGCAAGTGTGCCAACCGTACGTATTTTCTTTAACGTAACTTTAACGTAATGTGACGTATTGTTACCTAAGCGTGGGGCTTCTGTGTATTTATGTCGGAAGTAACGTCAATATGGTTTGATTGTTTGGACTGACACGAGTTTAATTAGAATTGCATAATAATAGTACATCAAATAAAACCAATGCAAGAGGATAGTACATGTACATATCTTAGTCATGTATCAAGCCTTTAACCCCCCCCCCCCCCTTCATTTCACTCTTCTTACCTCAAGAAAGAATACATCACCGGTGTCCCTGGGGCCACTGATAATAAAAGCAATAACCTACCCTGGGGTTACTCTGTATTAAAGCCAAGCTCTATTTTTTATTAATAAAGAAGAAAAGTCAATTTATTTGAAAAGGTACCGTTGAGTGTAGATGTATCTCTGTTTTAAAGACGCGAAAGCTGATTTTTCGAAAGGTGCGCTCTTCACACCTAAGCAATAATAAAAAAGCGTGTCGAATTAGAGATTAGGGATGCAGGTCTAATAGGATTACAATACTGGCACTTGGTCCCTGACATTTCCCGGAATGAATTTTGAAACTTCTTCAAGGTGTTCAAGCCTTTTGTTTATAAATTTCATTATCATTTATTAAAATTAGTTTACAATTGTCCCTTATTTCCCCTTTCCACGATATATAATCAAATATTATTTTTGGGCAATATCACTTGCCGCGATAATCAATTGAGTTGTTGAAATAAGGATCAGGCTAATGGCCTCTATGGAATTTAAATCAGATTTAAAACGATATGTTCAAAATATTATTCTAAATCATAAAATTGACCAGTTCTAACCAAATAAACGTTTGGTGAACTAATGTATTGATGCAAAGGATAACAATAGCATATCAATTGCCCAAATTGGATTTGCGTCCTTTTCCTTTATTGATGAACGGTGGACAAGTTGAAGAAATTGTTCCTTAAAGAAAGTTTTTGTTTAGGGTGCTACTTAAAATTAATCTGTTTGGGTTGAGATCAACATTTTAATTTGGAATCAAGTTCGCTTTTCCCGTCCTTGCCAGCCATTTTGACAGATCTAGATATTTTATAGATTAATACCAGCGTCCTATTTGTAATTATATTTATGATATCACATTAAATTAATTTTAAGCATAATACTTTTTGGATGTTTTCAACAGGACCCTGGATAAAGGTGATTGGAATTTTTTCAATTCCTTTTTACCTGGTTACCCTAGTCAATTTATAACTTATTAATTCTGGTCTTAGACAAGTCCATACGGTTCCTGTGTACCCGATCGTTACGGGGTGTAAATGGAGACGGAGAGATAAATGGAAAATATTGAGAAGGAATGCTCGGCATCTTTCAGCACGCGTCAGTAGGATTCCCCGTGGTGTAGTTGCACAAGAAATAGACAAGAAGATATGCCAATCAGCAAATAAACCCCCATGATTGGTTAATTACTGTTTCTGGCCAGATTGGGCGGAGTTTCTGCAATGGAAGTTTGTTTAGATAAAGATGCGGCTGGCCACGCAGTTTCGGCAACTATATTACTTATGTGCTTCTGAGTTAGCCGCATTCGAGTTGAAATCTCACCAGTGCTATATACATTTATTTGGCAGAGAAGCAGGCGTGAAAATAAACAGTAAACAAAAAATAAGAACTAGAACATTTTTCCTGAATAACTAGTATCACTTATAGATCTGCATCAGAGACATATAAAACATTTACCAGGAGTTACTTTTCGTGTAAAACTTAAAAGATTTGAGGATTTGTTTCAAAGAAATTTCCTCCAGTCGTATAATCCCCACGGAATACGGGACATAAATTAAGCGTCGGGAGAATCGGAGGCTCAAAAGGAAATCACACAGAGACACCAATAGTGTAAAGCGGACGAAAATTCCCAGGACAATATTTACGCGTACCTTATGGTTTGTTGCCAGCAGCAGAATGACATGTGTTGACGTTATGTACCAGCCTTACACGTCCTACTTTCCTTATCAGAGACCCCATCCCACATATGAATATCCACAAAAGGTATGTTAGCATATTTTTGGAGTTTAACTGATTAGAATCGTTAAAGAGTATACTTGTATTGATGGTAAGTAATGATTAAAAGTGCCATGACAATGTCTTTTAAAGTGTAAATAAAATGTTCATCAATAGAGTTATCCGGTCACTCGAATCAATCCTTATATTCTGTATAGAATAGGCCTGTGGAATACATGTAGGCAAGCATTGCATCTAAACCATATTATGTCATAAAATCATTTTTATTTTATTTTTCAATATCAGAAATTTCGACCAGATCCTCTGGATACAAGCAGCTTCGCACTGGGAACACCTTCGTCGTCCTTGGCAACGCATCTTAGCCACAGTCTAGCATCTGTATCCACCGCCGCTTTGGTCACCCCCAAGCTCGAGGACACACCTCACACGCATGCGCACCATACAACCGGACTCTCCGTCAGTCACGGTCCACAGCCACACGCAACTCGAGATGATCCGGAAATAAAGCCAAAAGACACTCGTTACCTCAGTGCGAATTGTGTATTATTGACTTATTTTAATGGTGACATTGCTACAAATGTAGATGAACATTTCACAAAGGCGTTGAATCAGCCGAGCAGTTATACACCGGACAATCAAGGGAGTTCACCGTCATCTTCCAACAGCCCACCTCATAGACCTAAAGGTACGTAGATATGGATGAATCTCAGGGGCAAAGTCTTAGACCCCAAATAAAACTGGTGGTTGGTATAGGTTGAATTTTGGAAGTCTAGTCACACTTCTAATGAACTATCTCATATTATTTTCAATTTCTTTTTTTTGAATTATGTTTAGTAATTATGTCCATTTGTCAAACTTTTGTTTTGGCCCCAATAACAGTGAAGGAATCGTTGAACCAAGGTGCAACTGAGGAATTTCCAATATAAATGCCTTGGAGTTGACAAATTGTGTCTCCTATTGCCGAGTTCTTCTTTTTTGGCTTATGTGATGGGTCTAAGGAGCACAGATTCTTCCAAATAAGATATGAAATCAAAAACAATTAAAATCAATGATTGACCTCATAAAAGATCATCGTAGCTGACTAATAGTGATGATCATATTTCAAAAGATAAATTCTTATCTAAATTATCAAAAAAGTAGTTATAAAACCGAGGGTTTGAGCGCAGTGAGAACAGTTTTCTGTAAACCCTGGACTAACATTGACTCGTATTTTAGCGATGAGTGAGAACTATGTGATGTTTTTTCTCTGGAAGAGGGTTAATGGTACACACCTAGTTATAACTACAACTTGCGCCTCTACAAATATTTTTCCTCGGTTCCATACTCCGAATATTATTTATAGTGAGTTCAGAAGATGAAAAATTAGCACGCGTGCGGTGTCGAAATCTTCTCTCTGAAACTTCTAACCTCAAAGTTTCTTCATCTCTAATGAAGGTGGGCATGTTCTTGATCCGCATTTGATGTTTTGAAACTAATATGACTTCGGGAGATGAATCCATACTGTTCAAAGTATACTTCTGGGTGAAACCTATAACTTCGGTTTCCATCCACGCGTTTCTCAGGCTTGTCAATGTTTGCATTTGAATTATTTCCATGTGTTAAATAAACGAATGAACGAGAGGCTTACAAATGACAGAAAAATTCGAAAATCCCAGAGTAAATAACATTTCTGAAAACAATAGCTGAAGTTAATGCTCGGAACGTTAGACGAGACGCGATATTTAGTTATTTACAGGTTTTACAACCAGAGATCATATCTTCTAATTCAGGCTTGCAGACATGTAGCTTGTTTATGATAATGTGTTTACAGGTCTGTTTAAAACTCTGCTCTGGTTTCATAACTTTCCCAACTACTTTTCACTCTTCAACCATTAATCTCGTGTCCATATATATTACATCAAACTAATAAGTACCTGAGTTTAGTTCATGTTTATGATAATCTGTACTCGTCAAAAGTTTATTAATTATTACTCTGAATCAATTACGGTAATTAATCAAATTATTAATTCAATTATTTTTTTTAATTTTCAGATTCCACTTTGATGTCTGAACGAAATTTCCCTCCTTCATTTTGGAATAGTTCTTACCAGCCTACTCCCGTGCCTCCTCCTCACGATCCTATTCAATTCCCTACAGACTCTTACATGTCGTCATCGTTACATGGCATGACGTCATCACTCCATGGTGACCCATGGCACTACCCACTCGGGTCCAGTAGTCACACATATAGCAGATCCATGCACGACTTAGCATCGTATTCGAGTATGGGATCTAGGAGTTTCAATCCTCATTATGGCTCCCTGCTGATGCAACCCTCTCTTCGTACCCCCAGGTTGGGTCAGTGTGACCTTTCTAAAGTGTCCGATGCTTGGGGTTCTCGCTATGGTCACACAGAGTCCAGCATAACAGATCATCTTGCACACCCTCATACACAGACCTCTTTATCAGGTAAATATAAATATACACCTATTTATATTGTTTTCAGGGTTGCAATTCAGACAATCCAAATCTAGTTCACTGAAAGATATGTAAATATATTTTTATGTATTGATTCCTCTTCAAAAAGTGGTACACTCGCATTTCTACAAAAGAAGTAAGATTAACTTGTATGAAAATATGTAAAATGCACACGATTATTCTTCATAATAAAACGAACTGGCAAAGAAAACCATAGAACGTAAAATTGGTGATTTTTACGAGAGTCGCCAAGCAACTGAGCATAGAAACCGGATGCATAGAAACCGATGAAAATCTCCCGAACAATACACAATTTATTGCAAATCACGTAATAAAATAGTTCTCTAGCTTAGATCATGTGAAAGAAATCAAGAACAATCTGCAATTAATGAAAACAATTAGCACATCTATAAACGGTTAAGGAAATTGAACTCGTGTCTATTATGCCCCGAGTTTATTGTTTTCTGCGGGAAAGAATAGTTCACGCCTGATTAGATGAGGTAGTTATTACATTAATCGAAGTTGTAATTAATTATCATCTTGAGTCTTGACAACACATCAGAGCCATTAATCATTTATCGCTAAATTCGAGGAAAACTGTATTTGATATTCCCCATAATTTTGTATTTTTTTCTTATTTTAGAAATACATTTGTTACACTGATTGCACGAAGTAATCTGGAATTTTAATGATTATAAATCCAAGTCCTCCTTTCTTGAACCTGTTTAGATATTTACATCAGCTTTGGCTCATTGCCGAAGACTTTGCGCATTTATAATATAAAGAAAAACAAATACGACAGTAAAATACGTGCGTCAAACAAGTTTTCATGAAATAATATGATTCCTTAAATCTATTGATCAGGTATGATAATTTATACCCTTTACATTCGTTCGATTTCGCTTCTTATCGAGAGCTTTGTCTTAGTTTATAACTAGACTCTACGCCCACAGGGTAGATAATTTAAAAACAAACTTCAAACAACCTTCCCTTGCTTATTTCTTGTGAACTGGCGAGATTTCTTTTTCTTTGTTGTTTCATGTTTATATTTCATCATAACTTGATGTTTATGATATTTTGTATTTATTTCCAGCATTGGAAAGCTCATCTACGGAAACAAGTAAAGATTTGTACTGGTTCTAGAAGTTTGAACAGAAACGAACTGAACTATCTCGAAGATCATGCACTGTCTACGTGCCCTACGAACGCAAAGCTCCCATTGTGTCCAAATCTCGTCACTTGAAGATGGCCATTGTCGAATATCGATCAGAATCAGAACTCACGGGTCACTTATTCTTCTTCATGGGAGATTGGACTGGCAAGCAAATTTTGATGACTGAGCTGAAAATGAAAGTGATAAAAATATTTGAATTGTTTTTACAATTTTATCTTCAATTGTGCTCACATTCAACACCTGTTACCATGTTTTCAAAGATAACAAATTTTTCACGTACAGCTGAGATTTATAATTAAATACTGGTAGAGCAAAGGATACCAGTTATAATTTATTGAATGGTGAAATAATTTTATCATAGAATATTAATTATAATTTATTTTATTTATTTATGAAATCACACAACAAACATCATTCACAAACTAAGTTTGGACTGTGTTGTTTTTATGTCTTGTTAATTTGAAAAATCAAAAATGATAATTGTACATAATTGATAATATTATTTGTCATTTTGTCAAAGTTTGTTGTATATAATTATTAAATAAACATGCATTGTATATGATTTACATGTTTGGTTGTTGTTTTAAAGGACTAATCGCTGTAATCTCCATCCTAAATAAATGTATAATATTTTAAATTTATGATGATATCATGTGCATTATACAATCGATAGACTAGGGCATAAATCTTCTTTTCTGAAAGTATAAGTAGTAAGCAGCATGAAACGTTCTAAATTGATGACTACTTGCATTTTTTCGATTTTAGCTTATTCACTTTCTTTGCAAGAAATCCTTAAAAGTAAATTATTTTAAATTAACACACCACAATAAAACATATAGGGACTGATTTATTTCAATAGAACCATTTAATAGTCATGTTAGAGAGATTTCCTAACTCACTTATATCATGTTCATTATTCCCGTTTAACTTATGAAGCGTTTGATTACGTCATCATTTATTGCGCAGCTCTATACGTCCATAAGTGTGATATTCTTATAAATCGTCGTCTATACGTAAATAATAAACATGCTATAAGTGAGTTGCGAAATTCCCAAGTATTAATATTTTTACATTTTTGAAGTAATGTCAACCTGTGTCATTCTCAGTCATTTCTTTACTCCATTTCTATTTGTCTCACCTTATATGTGGCACTTCTGTCCAGTTAAATCCATCACATATGCTCTTGGGAGCGTCTTGTATTCATTGAATGTCACGTATCTTTTTCAAAATAGTAATAAATATCTGATTCTTAGTCAGAATGTACAATCGTAAAATGTCTCGGTGATTATTTTTGTGATTAAATACAAAGAGAAAAATCATAAAAGAATCACCAAATGTATGCAATATCAAGTATATTCCCAAGACAATCAAATCGACAGGCTTAAAAGCTTCCAAAGCGCCATCCTTTGTATTAGACATGTTCTTAAAGGTGTCTCGATTCACGAACCATAGTAACTTAGTTTGTGTCAGTGATCGAATGCTCGAGTATCTAGCCAAATTACTTGCAACACAGTGGAAGCCGTGAGAGCATTTTAGAGCTTCGCAGCCATCAATTCACGTTCCTACTTTTCTTTTGGATACTTATTGTGAAGTTTGGCTCACCATCTAAAAGTCAAGTAATATATTTTTGTGATGGCCTCCATTGAAGCGTGTCCAACTTTTCTCTGGGTTGGCATCTTGTTGACGAATCTTCTTCGATCACTACGAAGGCGACATCTTTCAAAGCATTGCAGAACCACCATGGAAACGAGCTCTTCGACATCTTTTATTGATGCTGGTATTCACAATCATTGAAGTTAGAGATATTAGCTTCACTGATATAACAAATAGAGTATTTTGGTATTCATCTATTCGTCAATATATCTATCTTTAATTGAGAGAGAAAGCATTAAAGGCAACATATTTCGCGAAGAGCTATTCATCAAGAACAGTCATCATAATAGCGGGAAAGGACGATTCTCGGTTTGGAGAACAGTCTCCTGGGCTAATAATTTTTTTCATGAAAAATATAGAAATATTACCCAAATTAAACTATGAATATTCAAAAGAGGACATTTAAATCTACAAGATGTAAAAATAACAAATTGGTCTGAAGCAGGGATAATACTCAATTAGACCGATTCAATAAAATACAAGTCTTGATTTTGGGGAAAGAAGTTCATCAGTGTACTGCGCTAATATTTTTTTGCGAAAAATCTAAAAATATTACCCAAATTAAATTATGACTATCCAAAAGAAATTCAAATCTATATTATGTAAAAAAATCAAATTTGTCCGAAACAGGGATAATGCTCATTTAGATTGAAGAACTTCGTTCTCCAAACCGAGAATCGTCCTTTGTTCGGATTGGAAGGTGTTCGCTGTTCGGATTGGAAGGTTTCACTATTATATTATAGTTTAGTTTATTTCAAACAAATAAAAGCCTCAGGCCCATAGTTTTACAAAAATAACAATACATGATATTTACATAAATTTAGTGCGACTCCTGCCTTTAATTAAATTAGCTAAGTTACATAAATCATTTACAACTTTTGTAAACATTAGATCTAAATTAATATACTTTTGTTGTGATGGTAAAATACAATAATCCATTTTGATGTACACTTCCCTTATATCAATATATGACAGGTAGATTAAAATAAGATGATATTCATCCTCCAAAAGAGGGCATTGCGATCCTCTTTTTGACATATTTTGATGTCTACCAATTTCAATTTTCAGTTTATGATTGGAACTTAGCCTTGTTAAAGCTCTTCTATATTTGACACTATTTAACTGATAAATATGTTTCGACTTCTAATATACAATCTACATGTATAATGTAATATGTAAAACCAATAGCACACAGAAAAACAATTAGTAAATTACCTTGGGAGATAAGTATCAGAAGACCTCAGTTCCTCTTGTCAATACGTCTTCGTAGCCATCAAGAACTCTGTTTATGGATGTTTTGTTTATATTAGGTTCTCTAAGATATGTCGCCCGTAGCAACATCACTTAGGTCATTGTTCAATTTCATTATTTAATGACGTCATAAACCTTGTACGTAATTTTCCAATGTCATTATGACCTCCATACAGTATGAAGTCACTGTTCGTTGCCATAGAAAGTGTATATGCTGTTTTAGCTTTTTCCAATCGTATTAAACGGTAGACATGGAGAGTTATTTGCAATGTTTTTCACAAGGTAACCGTGACTGGAAAGTAAATGATTCAATATAGTAATGTGTCTAGCGCGCATGTAAAACAAACGGCAATCAGTCAGATACCCGTTCATTTTCAGTGTGTTTAGAATGGGAAATTTCACGTTGGTGTCAACATGGACTTCTATTCATTTGAAGTCCATGGTGACAACGGGAATCATTATACTCATGTCTATTGAATACTATCCTTGCAATTTTGATTTCGATGCAGTCGTAATGCGTTCTGGAGAAAATGATGTATGTTATACATGTTTTAGCTCCAAATATCTTACGAAACGACCTTGTTTAAAATATGTATCATCAGCTATATGATTATCAATGGCATATTCATTGGTATTTAAGTTATCAAAGATTACGCTTTTTACGAAAAATGGCCGCCATTTAGATATTTAGCAGCCATTTTAAAAATCTCTTCTTCAGCAAAGCTCCTTTGTCCTTTGGAATCAGCACATAAAATTTGAACCTAATCAGTCAACTTGTATTTGAGTTATCAAAGATTGGCGGCCATTTTGAATTGAGCGGCCATATAGAAAATTCCTTCTCGAGCAGAGGTCATATACCCATTAGACATAAGCCTTTAAAATTTGAATTAAATCCGTCAACCGATATTTGAGTTATCGCCCGGACAGACGGACGAACGGACGTCTTTAAAGCGCCATCAAAGCGCCGTTGGTGTGAACTTAGCTTTACATATTATTCTTTGTTGTCAAAAAATCAAAATCCATCTCTTTATCAATGGAGTTGCAACTTATGTGCCTAAAGCTTTAGACCGGTGTGTTGAGTAAAATTTGCCCATACCCCGTTATTTCACACTGGCTTTTATTTAAACGCCTATGGACGTATATTAAAACGGAAACATTGTTTTGCATATGTTCATGACAAACCGATATCTTAACTAAATAGAGAGTACAACCAATGTCTCATTATTAAATAAATCATTTCGGTTATTTAGGATTATAATCAAAGACATTAACTTAATATTAAAAAAGAAAAATAATCATTTACATAATATATTATATTTAGTAACACAATATTCATAATTTACAATATAAATATTTAAATACATGTACTAAAATTCAGCTGTACATGTTGTAAAACATGTAATCATTTCAGTGATGCAAAGTGAGAATGTCAACTATATTCAACAAATTTTGAAACACAATTATGACTTCCTAGTAATTTTCTACGCCACCAGATATTTCTATGCACCCAGACTGCCAGAGCTTTTTTCATGTTACAGACTTTATTAATTTCAACATCAAATATTCTATATTTACCTTGACAATTACATCAATATCACAATATATTTACATACACAATAAAAATATTCCTTCTCTACAGGGCTTCCAATTGCAATCCATGGGTTCTGACTCTTCAAAAGGAACTAAAGCACCCTTAGGAGAGTGGAAAAATATCACGATACATTTTTCATCTTACTGAACTATTTGAATTTCAACATCTAACAACATTAATACTGTATGACGAATGTTGTGCACTTGTTAAACTACGCCATCTATTGTGATGATACCTACGTACTGCATGCACTCGTCTGTTAGTTAGTGACTTATTATAACTTGTATACCACCATGACATCTATAAAAGCCATAAAAGATCCCATTACACTAGGAATACATATTCAGCCCATTACACTAGGAATACATATTCAAAATCCCTGCTAAAATTAGTTGGAATTCTTGGATACCTGCTTATTAAATCCTCTCTATCATAATTTAACCATTGCAGGTTTCCGTTCGGCTAATATTCAAAGAAACCCTCATGAGTCATATATAGAAGAGGGATCAAGTTCTCTGATGGATATTGCCCATGCGGCACCATACATGGTCATTCCACATGATACTTTGATTTTTTGTTCAAATTAATTCACTTTACTCAATAAATATAAATTGATTTAATATTCGATCACATTAGATCTCCAATTGGCACCATAGTTCAACCATTTTTAAAGGCTGGCTCAAGACAACATATTGCAATTATTCTTACAGTGTTTTGGTCAATAAGGAAAACTCGAACCCAAAAATGTATAATAGTAAGTAAATGGATAGATAGATGTACATGCATACTCTAAGCTGTACACTGTTATATAGTAGTTGAAAGCCCATGCTTTCAGCAACAAAGGAAAAACTGAATAAAAAAATAATCTGAATAACTGACACTCACAGATAATTTGAGGATCATCATATTTTTTCAGACCCTAAAATGCTCATGGTATGTTGAGGCCTGATTTTGTCCATGTGGTTTAATTTTTATGGCTTTTTACAGAACAATGCCTCATTATAGACACAGATATTTTGAGTGAAAAATAACATGATCATCAATTCCTTCTGACATTAATGTGATGAAAAATTGGAAATAATCCTCCTTGGGTTTAATTTGTATAATTCCCTTGTGTGTTCATAATGCCCGATTGGAGCTCTTCCTCATTGGGTGTTACTTATTTTCTATAATTTCCTATTGTATTTATGACCCACTATCATTCATTGGGATCTCTAGCATCAGCTATACCTCCTGGCACTGTCACTACTAGTCCTTCCATGTCCTTTGATACACAAACCTGACAACCTAGTCTAGATCTGGAAATATATACGTAAATCAGCTATAAATAGTACTTTATTATAAGTCTTCAATAAATACTAATTAGCTACAACATGTACTATAACTTTTTATTATTCTGATTCATTTTTCTACTGTCTATTATTGAGTGATCTACTGTATTGTGAGAGTCAGAAGTCTGCAACAATGGGGAGGGACGGGTACAAGTGGGTTAGGCCAAACTTGGTTGACAGTACAAGGCATGTGAGCAGTGGAAATCTTCCCAAAAATAGTATTTATGGATGAAGTGCATGCAGAAACACTAGACGTTAAACCTATTGAAAATGACACTAGCGTATCATAATCTAAAATGTACATTTTCATTTTAACTATAGTGACTCGGTAATTTTTACAGATATTTTCATCATATCTCTTTTAGTATTAGTGGGATCTAGATCTAGAGTACTTTACTTTTTACCAAAAATATTGTTAACTTTTCTTGTCTGCTATGGGGGACCATCAGCTATGGGGGATCAATTTCAAATATTAAATTCATGATAAGTATATATAATAATTACATCGTTTATAACAACATCTTAAAAGCTGGAATGCATCAGATCCCTCAAAATATGATACATACTCTGTGAGTTGAGATGTAATAAATGTACAGAATTAAAATTCAGTAAAATATATTACTGAACATACATGTACTTCTAAACAAAAAAATAAATTTTGAGTTTTTTTATTTATTATGTATAGTCAGTTTCGGATGCAGGGTTTATCCCTATGGAAATATATTTATCTACCCGGGATACACATATTTCCCTCAGGATAAACCCTGTATCCAAAACCTCCAATTACATATTCCTTATTTACTTACGTATCAGTTAAACCATAAGCTAAATCTAACATATCAAGTTCTTCATCTGTCGGTTCCTCGGGGAGTTTGTCGTAATCTTTTTGATCAAATATTAGATGACATGTTGAGCAAGCCAAGGTCCCTTCACAAGCACCTGAAATTTGATGCATTTTCTTTATAATATACATGTATGGTATGTATATGTTTATAAGTAATCAAATGTTTTTCATTTTTTATATCCTACACATTTCAGATCATTTCTGATCATGACAATGCTAAAACACCTTTTATATGATATATGACATATTTTCACGAGAAAGATTTGGGTTGGATAAAAATTTAATTCTAATGTATGTGATTGAATAGTAATATATGTATATGCAGGTTATCAATAAATAAATAAACAAACATTTGGAATTCTAATGTTCACATAATTGTATACAGGGTGTCAAATGGCGATGTGAACCCCTTCCACAGCATAAACTAGGAGAAGTACATATACATTATATATTTCATTAGAAAGAGCATTCAATTCTGGATAAAATAAACCCTAGATGACTAGGGCAAGATATTGCTACATGGTTTCACATGCATTTGAAATACACCAGTATTGTGCTATTTTTATTGATTTTTAAATATTCCTGCATAGACTTTTTTGGTTTTGGTGAATACCCGAGCAAACAATTCTGACTCGAATGCTTCAGTTCAAATTGAGCCCATATTTTGTATCATGCATCTTCATCTTTTCACACTCTAAGAACAATTAAATGCTCTTTCCAATGGTATATAGTATGTATGTGTACCTCTTCTAGTTTATGCTGGAGATGGAGGGGGGGGGACACAAAGTCACTTGACACCCTGTACTAATGTGTATTGGATTAATGTTTACTGAAACTTTTTTGACTCAATAAAATCTTGTTGAACTTTGCTATACCTTCTAATATAACGTTGCATTTAATTTCAATGCACAATACTAAAGTAGGATATTCCAGTGTTTAGATAATTACAATCAGCAAGAAGGTACATGCATTTAATTAAATTCCCACCAGGGTGTTTAGAAATGTCTGATTGTTTCATTTTCTACTCACCATGTAGCATCAGTAAGATAATAATTTAATGAATTATGACGTTATTTTCACTGTTGTATTGATTTCTAAGACAGGCAATATTATAATTTCAAGTTGTATATTAGTTTAAAGTTTCGGTTCTCAATGCGTGATATAATACATAGTAGGTCCAAAATAATTTCTATGTGATGTTACTCAATTTGTTTAAATTATATTGACATTTTTACATGATACATGGACATATGAAATTGGCATTTTTCAAAAATGAAATGGCCACTCTAAAAATTAAAATGATTTTCATAATTTGTTGTCGACCAAACAGCTTTTTACTATCCACTTGCTAAACAAAAAATATTTCATGTAAAAAAAATTTGAGATGGTGCCTTAGTGTTTCACTTACCAAATCCATCAATATCTATATCATTTTCTATGACAACATCTAGTAGGTTATCACCAACTGTGGCTTTCGTAGACATTTTGGTACCATCTGCATCAATGAAGTTTATCGTAACCCTGGAAACAGCAAATGTATACCTCAGTATTCTTTGTAAGATTTTTTCATCAAGTGTGTGCAACATTTGTATTTCACCATTCTGACCAAAGAGCCAAACTCATGATTTTTCTCATTTTTTTAAATGGGTGCAAATTCATGCCCGGTAATTGGACAAAATGAACAGTTGGTTTCTGCTAGAAAATCTAACAAATCCGTAAGATTTATTCTATCAGGAGAAAGTTTACTATTGAATTGTTAAATGAATTGGCACATGGTAATATGGTAAAATATGTTAGGTCTTCTAAGATTTTTTTGAACCAATATGAATATGATATGAGATGTATTGAAAAGGACGAAAGCAACTGGGGTCTACTCAAACTGTAATAAACACCTGATATCATCACAACTTATTTATTCAGGGATATATAATAAGAAAAAATATGTTTTCTTGTTTCCATTAGAACACTACAATTAACAATGTGACAATACATATCATAAAGTTAGAGTTTTGTAAAAACAGTACATAATACGTGTAAAAATAGTATATGACTGGACTATGCTATAAAATAAGCATTTAAAATTACTGTCACCCTTACATTCTTTTGAGCATTTAAAACATGTAAAATTCATCTACTATAGATTGCGTTAATTTGGCGCTACTTAATTTGGCGATGTTGCCATTTTTGGCGGCTTTTTAATTTGGCGGATATGCAAAAAAATGTTAAACCTATGCGCTGTTTGCGAATTACCATGTAAATGGGCATGTTTGGCTTTGTTCATTTTTTCTTTTGAGGACCACTGGCGATATTCACCATGTTTGTACATTTTTTTAGATCATCCTTTACATTTTGCACCTCGATCGATGCTGCTACTATACTGCGCTTTTCCTTTCTAGTTTTTCCCTGAGTATTAATGAGTGACTGATAGTGGTCGGACTTGTCTGAAAATCTCCACTCGAGTGGGCCATGAAAAACCACGATTATAATCACGATTTGACTTAGTTGAGTTACTTCCGGTTTCAGTTTCCCAAGTAGCGGCATAGCACCCTATAGATAGTTAAAGTTCACCCCTAGTCCCCTATAGATAGTAAAACTTACCGAATAAATAGTGAAAACAAACTTCGTCAATCCAGAAAGTTCCAGGATGCACCGCGGTAGATAAATATTTTAAAATTCCCGGCTGTTGGATATTCCCAGAATGCATCAAACCGGAAATGAAACTTTTGCATAAAAATAACGAATGCAGAATAAAATCCGAGTATGTTTGTCTTCTGTACATGGCATTAAATAGAAAATAAGTTGTATTCTAAACAGATTAAGCAGAACATTACAACTATAAGCATGGAAATTGCGAATAGGAGAGACAAATCGCGAGTCAAGGTAAGGTGAAAACGAGTGAAAAATATTTTTTTGGTAAAATTTCAAATCGCATTTTCAAGTTTTCAACTCGATCAATTGATTTTTAGGACAAATGCGAGTAAAACTCGAGTACACGAGTCAGTCTTCCAACCACTAGTGACTGACCACCTACATAATTTGCGATGACACCAAAGACGCAATAAAAGATCTATACATATATGAAATAGCCTCTTCTTGACGAAGTGCTGAAATGCACAATTTAACACGCATCCCCTAAATGGAGCAAAAAGTAGGTTGTGTTAAGTTAACCCACTTCAAGTTCAACTTGAAATGATTTCTTCAGATTTTCTTGACTTTTAAAAATTATGAAATAAAATCTAACTTACTTTTCCTTGTTTGCTTTAGGTTTTGAAGTGCAAAGTTTTGGTCCAACTGTTGAAATACATCTTGGTATATTTTTCGCACCTACTTTCGTGAGTATATCAACTGTTTTGGTTGTAGTAGATCGAAATAAAGAACGACACAGAATGTTTCCAACTTTCGCAGCCATATTGAACTTTGACCTCTAAACCACTTCCGGTTCAGATTTTTGAGCAAATACTTTATTTTTCGTACTTTTTATGGGGTACAAAAATATACTTTTAATTTTTTATTGATTTTATTATATCACTGGATAGTTCTGTATTCTTTTCACTTCGCAATATTTGCACAAATTATTTTCCTCGACTTTGGGAGAAGTGCAAGAGATTAGTTATTATTGCCTAGCAACCAGTATTGACGTAAACATTGAAAGTGATTCCGATTTAAGAAATAGTTCTTATATTTTCTTATGTGTTTTATCTCTTTATCAAATAAAAATATTCATAAAATAGACGGATTAAATAGTAATCGAAAATATGAGTTGATATTTTCTTCAAATTAGGCTACAACCTTTATTAAAATAAGCAGAAAGAACTACTTTTGCTTCTTGCGCGTTCTTGAGAAAAGAGTAAATCGGCAAGCAACAAGAAGGATACACTAAGATTTGGAAGAGAAGCATTAGAAACACTTATATTGTCAAGAACTACTCACTAAAATTCCCCAATCATGGCTGCCATACTTCCCCCAAAACAACAAGGAACATACACATTCGCTAGTCAACCGAGAGCAGTAAGACAGAGAAAGAAATATAGGGATGGAGAAGAAGAGTAAGTTTTACTTTTACATTTTGAAACATGATCAGATTTTGAATTTTCACTTTTCAGATTTCAGCATTTGAGTTAATTGTTTCAACATCTACTTTGAATGGACCTTGAAGAACAATGTCAAACTATATAACCTGTCAGCCTTTTACAATGAATGAAAGGTTCCAATTCCAAGAAATGTCACAATTGTTGTGTGTTGAAATGAAAATACTGTCTGCTGTTTTATGATTTGGTTCAGTGTTCAATTTTGCCTTCCAAGTTTAATTAAGATACGTAATCTTGTGTTAGTATACTCAGTATTTACAAGAAAGAATTGAGGTTAAATGATTCGTTATTATTTCTTGTCATTTAAACATAATTTATTTATTTTTCCAGTCCCAACAGCAGCCAGTATGGAAACATCATGTACGACAGAAGAATTGTGCGTGGAAACACATATGCCCAACACACGCTACCAGCTACAGCCCAGCCAGATCCTATTGAACTTCAACGTCAACAAGAACTGAGGCGTCGTGCAATGGCTAGGAAACGTGCAAAGGAACAACTTAGACCAAGATCCCCTGAAGCAGTCGAAGGACGAAAACACATAGATGTCCAAACAGAACTGTACCTAGAAGAATTAAGTGATCGTGTTGAGGAAGCTGATGTTGATACTCAGACAGATGCATTCCTGGACAGGCCCCCATCTCCCATGTTCATTCCAGCAAAGACTGGTGTTGATATTGAAACCCAGATCTTAGAGGGAGAACTTTTTGATTTTGACATTGAGGTTAAGCCTATTCTTGAAGTCCTAGTAGGTAAAACTATAGAACAATCTCTTCTTGAAGTAATGGAAGAAGAGGAATTAGCTAACCTTAGAGCACAACAGAGAGCCTTTGAGGAGCTGAGAAATGCTGAACTTGTTGAACAACAGAGACTTGAAGAACAAGAGAGACGTCATCGGGAAGAGAAGGTGATTGTCCTCTTCAGAATAAAACATATTATATAGAACTTTAACAAGTTAATAAATGGCATCCTTATATTTTTAAAGATATTTATCAAGATTATGCGATATCGTTATTTGTTTTATGCATATAAATTATTTATTGCTGCAGAAAGCAAATTAAAATATTGAGATTCCTCATTTAGTGTAAGAAATCCACAATTCAATATGGATCTTAAAATACGGAATATGAAATTTTCTATAAACAATTCATTTCTTTAAATCAACATAATTTTTATCTTGTAGGAGAGAAGAATGAAGCAACAAAGAGAAATTCTCAGGAAAGAAAAAGAAACTGCAGACAAAATCTCAGCTCGTGCATTTTCTCAAAGCTACCTTGCAGATCTCGTACCCTCTGTATTTGGAACACTATCAGATAATGGTTACTTCTATGATCCTGTAGAAAGAGGTAAGGATTATTAAATTATTTTCTAAGCTTCACATATTTCAGGATCATAATTCTTGGCATTTAAATTCATTCGAAATGTCTTGAATAAAAACCTGTACTCATGTATATGTAATAAAGTTGCTAAATTATGTATTTGAATCATTAACTGGCTCACAGTCAATTATCAGAATTTTGTAATAGCTATCACCGAAACAATGTTATGTATAGCCTTAAATGTTCCTTATAATTAAGGCTTATGGCTTTTGGCTTTTCTTATAGCTCTCTATATTGATGAAAAAACTTTGAATTTCAGATTGTGAACAAGGTTTTATGCCATGGCTGATGGATCGTGTTGAAGAACAACTGGAGAAGAATGTGAATGGACGTACAGTACTCGATGGAATTCTCCGAGCAGTTGTCCAGTCTCGTCATGAGGCATTTAAAAAATTAGAAGATGCAATAAGGCAGCAACAGTTAGCTGAGTTAGCAGCACAACAAATAGCAGAGGAGAAAAATCGACCTGTTAGTGTAGAAGGTAGCAAGGCTGCTACAGAATCTGGAGAAACTGAAAAACCAGAGGTAGGCTGACATTATAAATGTTGTGACATCTGTAAATGTGAAAAATTATTACTTTTTTTTATCATTTTTTATCAATTTATTTCATCATATATGGAGTGCCAATCGCTTTTTAAAGCATTATAGACTGAGTTAGCAAGAAAAACTCAAAATAGTTTTGAGACAAATTTGATTTATTGTATTAGAAAAATCAAAAGGCAAATGTTTAATGTAACTGGTACAGCAATGAACTTTTACAGAAATGAAGTTGATGGGATATCCAAATATGAGATTACACCATGTGCACATTTGTTTTGACAAGTGTTCTTGGATGTTCATACTGAATCATATTAGCATCTAATCAACCGCTTTTTTGTACACTTCAGAGTGAAAAACCTGCAGAAGATGAGACAGCAGCTGTAACAGAGCCAGATACAGAAGTAGAACAAGAGCCGGAGGGAGGAGTAGGGGAGGAGGAACAGCAGGAGGAATAGCCACTGTCCTACCTCCCACTTGAATAAAAAAAATTGTAAAAAGACATTGTAAATAGTCATAATGTTATTTCAAAGTCCACTAGTTTAGGACAATTATTTTCTAAAAATATTCTATGTTCATATATTCCTTACTGACAATCAAAATGTTAAATGTATAAAACTGTTGAATGTTCAGATTGGCCTATAACTTACAGGCCCTGACACCTAATACATCTATGCTGATGTCAGTGAAAATAAATATCTATTAAAAACAAATATTTGTTTGGATTTGTCTTGGATTGAAAGATTATCTGGGCTGCATTTGCAAAACCTAAAGTAAAAAATTAAGTCCCAAATCAATTGACAGATCAGTAGATAGCACTAAACATGATGTCATAGTAAAAGAATAATAGACATACACAATTACACATGTAGAAATTCTTAACTTTGCAAAGGTACAGTAAATGCGGAACAGGATCAAGGAAGCCCCCCCCCCCTAACATATACATGAGCCATTAAAGAACTGAATAAAGCCTGGTTTCATCCATTTCATACTTTTGGATTGTTTTAACACGAGAATCACCTATCATATCCCAGTGGCTAGTATAATTATGAATTTCATTTTTTATAGTCCTCAAAAAATGTGTCACAAAATGTCCCAAATGCTAGTTTGTGTTATAAAGAAAAGTCAAGTTGCGCATCAATGATATGGCTGTGCATGAAGGAGAAGGCAATAACTGATCAAGGTTGTTGCATACTTATTACCTATTATATGAACTAGTCTGCCAGTAGCTTTCAAAATCTTTTTTGACACCAAGTAAATTAAGTCAATCTGTTTTTGTATAAAAATTTATTCAGTTTTATCTACAATAATCACATGCAATGTACACCCTATAGTATATTATTCCTAAAATAACCTTAAATTGAGAAGTATTATTTCGTCATGTTTGAGACCATTGTGTATGGAATACTGATAGTACTACACAAATCAACCTTACTATTTTTTATCAAAGTAGGGTGAATGACATGGTTCTCAGCAAAACTGACATTTCCATATCCACATATTAGCAGTTTACAGATCACAGTATATAATGATGGATTTATGTCATATTTACATGCATTTTAATTTTAACATGCTTTCTGAAGCATCTGAAATTAAATGAAAATAATTCAATCACTGATGACACTTTATCATAGAATTGCGGAATTTAAAGGCCATACAACTGTATTTATTTTTAGAAAATAGACATGACAAGGAATGATATGATACAAGTAAACTTAAAAAATCTAACTTCAAGGCAGAATCAGATCCAGCAATTACTTTGCTGCTTCACCTTGATGAAAATTGTTACAATTTTAGAATATTTTGGGTTCATATCATTCCTTGTCATGTCTATTTTCTAAAAATACACCAAATATATACTTTATTTGAAGAAAACTAAAGATTTTTACAATAATGCAATCATTTGTCTATAAGAATGGTTACAATTCTTATTATTTGGGAGAATTTAAATATTTTTCCACCATTTTTGCAAATTGAATGTTAAATAACTTCACCAATTGATAACACATCACAGAGATATTTGGGAGTTATAATATTTGAGCTTGACAGGAATGAATTGGTAGATCAATTATACATATTGCTTGCAATTTTGTCACTCCCTATAGATCTGATTCAGCCTTTAAAAATATCCTCATTACAATACACTGAATCGTAACTGGATATTTCATGTTTTTACAGGGTGATTCAAACAAACATTGTTTTAAAAACATATGCAGAAACTTCATTTGTATTTTTGTAGAGAAATATTTTTTCACATGCATTTAAGTTGTGTTCTACCTTTTGGATCACCATGTAAATAGATACTCGTTTAGATGCACTTAGAACAGGCAAACGATTTGGTGATCTTGCTTTCGGGGAAAGGAAATAGTTACTGGCTCAACATGCAAGCTTACAAATTCTCCTTCCCCCATTCAGTGAGTTTATTAATATTTGTATGGCCACCTATGGGGTATATTTACAGGACCTGGGAATTTGCCATTTCCCCATTGCTATACAATGCCTGTAATTTGATTTATACTCCATCCACTTATTTGTTAAGGGATCTTGTTTTTAATACAGGGGCACACATAAATTAACTGTGCAATTATCAATATTTATATGGGCTGGGGGATTGAGACAAGGAATCAAAGACTTTTGTTTGCTTTTGATGTGCCAAAATCGTAATTCTTATGTGGACCATAGTTTGTGTCTTAAAAATTTGAATATGCGGAAAGCTTTTATACTTGTGAACAAATAAAAGTAATTATAAAATAGAGTATCACTAATAAGACCCTTTAACATATAAATGATTGCAGAAAACCAATACATGAAAAATTGGATTTAATGGTACAAATCTTAAACCTGCTTGTGAAACACTAAACTGAATATGACAAAATTACAATATAAAAGTAGAACATAATATATAGATGTAATAAAAATGTATAAAATAACTTACAAACAAATTACAATGCTCAATACAATACAATTGTACAATGCTGTTTCTCACTAGTCTCACACTGTACATGTATATACGGATTTAAAAACCAAAAAAGGTCAATTTTTGTTCACATATTACGCACAAAAAAGCTCATGGTATTTTCTCTTTGGTTCTGGTAACATGTACATGTATTAATATCATGAGCGTTGGGCTATATTTTGAGTTGGTACGCCCACTTGGAGATGTTTGATAGCATTGCCGAAGGTCGTGCATCTTGGGGGTCCAAAACATTTTTTTCGAAGATGTTAATTGATGCAATCTGAGCATTTTTATCAACATTAGATAGTTCTATTGTGATAAAACTAAATCATCAATAAATGTGCAAACAATTAAGCATTTTGACACATTTTTATTTTTTTCAAATTCATTTGGTGCACCCCGGCATACTGTGCGTAACAGGCGCTACGCCCATGAATATGACTCCTTTTGAATGCCAACATGAATAAAATTATAGAGGCAGATAAAGAGTAAAATCTTGTGAATTTATCATGCAAGTTTTGTAGAAAAAGTATCAATTTCTATCACCTCATTGAATTTATTTATGTCAGCATTCAAGTAAGGTTTGTATCAATGCAGCAGTGTATATTTAATAATATTATATACCCCATATGTATTCTAGATGCTCATTGGACAGGATATTCCCTTGGGAAAAATATTTTGCACTATTTCCCTCAATGGCAGTCACTATTTGTATACTATTCACAATTTAAGAATATTGATGCAAAAACCTTTTAAAACTGATAGATTATATCGAGAGAGATAATGAGATTCATTAAATTCAGCTTATTGAGTTATCGCTCTTTTATACAAGTACAATAGTACGGTTCTTAATCCGTGAGAATGTGACCACTTTTGAACTTCAGTAAGCCATCCAAATAACACAAACATGTTTTATCTCATTGCATTTCCAACCATTTCAACAGCTGAGTATAATAAAAACTGAGGAACTGAGTTGTTAAAGATTCACTTATAAAATAAACTCAATGTTACAGATTAAAAATTTCCAATATGAATAAATAAAATAATTCTTTTGGAACATGCTTCTTACATAAAAATCTCATCTCAGATTGTCCAAAAAGTAAACCAAACCCATACCCGGCTATAACACTGAAGCACATTCATGTTAGTAACAATTTTGTAACAGTACTACATGTATATATTATACACATACAAATGTTATACATATTATATTGCCACAATTAATTATGGATTTAGTCTTGCAACAAGCCTTTATAACCCCAAATTTCCTCTTTTACAATCTGCGATAGATAAATTGGGGAGGAGGTTATGAGACTTGACGCAAGACTAAACTGGATTGTACTTTATATTATTGCTTCATATACATTATATACATGTACTTATACTGAAGGAAACTTGGTGTTCTTCACCAAAGGGGTTTTCAGTGCAAAATTCTGATTTTACTTTTTTAGATAAGATTGTCAAAATATGACAATTTGTTATGAATGCTCATTTAACTTGATGTTGGAAATATCACTGTAATTGATAACATATTCAGTCTTGCACAAAATATATTCAAGAAAGAGAATATTGAAGAAAAATTAGATGCAAAGTTACTGTCACATATTATGTCATGGATTCTTGTCACACATTTTGTCATGGATTATTGCAACCTTCATTTTGTCAAATATGTAATGTAATGCTTGCTGTATCACATATTATTTTTTTATCACACATAACCTACATTACTGATTATCACGATGCACTATTGGAATTGTTCTCTCGTGTCATCTGCTCAACAAATATTTCTTAGCAGTTACCACATATTTTGGTGTCACAAATTATTTTTACTCTTGGCAATCCTTGCAATTTCTGTATCACATGATCAGGTATCACACATTATTCCTGCATCACATATAATTCTTGTGTCACACATTTTCAGACTTGTCAGACATTGCTTGTTTTTATATCGGGTTCTTCCTCAATGTGAGTAGGTCCTGGTGTGAAAGGGTGAAGGCAGAAAATCTGAAATCACCAACAAGTTGATATTTACATGTGTATTGGATGTTTTCTGACTAGGGCTGGTTCATTAGTTCATCTCCAACATAAGACAAAATTCTGTGTTCAGGACTGTACTGTAATTTGAAAAATTAGCAAAATAGCAAACATTTATTTTCTTCATTTGACAAAATTTTTACCAAAATGTTACCTTCAGACAATGCACATCCATTCCTGTCTTAGAGTTTAATAAAAATATGAATTGCTTCGTTTTCTGAGGTTTCTGTTCAGCTAAGAGTGCTGACAACATATTCGTGAAGTTTTGGATTAATTTTACAGGTAATTTCTTACTCCAAGATTTTATTTAAAACTCTTTAATGCTGCAGAATTTACTCATTGGATAGGTGCAATGAAAATTCCAGTAGAATACAAGGAGGATGGTGTCCATTTGTCACTAGCTGTGGGCAAACAATGTTAATTTTAGATGGAAAAAGGAAAAGGAACATTTAAGCTATAATGATTTTCATTATACTGCAAATCAAAATTTTAAATTTTGTAATATTGGATGTTAAACAATAATGAAAATAACCAGGACTGTAGCCAGGATTTGCCAAGGGGGGTTCAGTTTAAAAATTTCCAGGGGGGTTCACATTTGACAACTTTGGCCCAAATATGGTTAAAATCACTTGAGAAGTGCTCAAAATGGTGAAAAACTGCATGATTTTGAAAGAATTTTTAGCCAGGGGGGGGGGTTCGCCCGAACCCTGCAAACCCCCTGGCTACGGGCCTGATAACTTTTCCACATTTCCAACATCCCTAGAACAAACATACCTTGTCAGATGGCAGCAGTCTCATGTTGTAAGCAGGATTGGTGAGTACGTAGCGCTTGGCAACCCGGTCTCCAAATCCTGCTGGGGGATTCACCAAGCGATACAATCCCAAACACATGATACCATGGAAGCGCAAAGTCCACATGAATAGGTTGCCATATGTAGCATCTATCTGCAAGTGGGGAGTAAATATTCATGATTATCAAAATGTGTTGAAACATTTCATGAGGTATTCATAAAGATGCATATACTTTCCAAGGACTGTTGGCACAATTTTGTGCAAAAGAAGTCTGAAGTACAATGTATGATTAAAAAATTTATTTTGAAGGAAGAAAATGACATTCAATGTGTTAATCAAATAAACATGTATAAATTAAATGTGGGATGTGTTTTTACAGTTATTTATCCTCGGAATTCTTCATCATACATGATTAATCCCACTTTGGGTTTTGAAAAGATCTAGTTCAGACATTAGGACATCATTCATAGTTCTTTATACATGTAGGCCACTTTAAACTCACCCCAACTGCAAATTGAGTGAATGGGTGCTCTCCAAGACCCATCTGCGCCACCCTGCAGCGATTCCTGTTTGAGAGGGTCTCAGTGGTGGGGTACCCTGGGACCATTCCCAGGCCCTCAGCCAGCAGCTGTTCCAGTTCCACGGTTGCACCCCCCGTGATGAGCGTTCGAATCAGAATCAATGTGTTACGATTGAAATATGTCTGAAAAGATCGAGGCAAATGGATTTTATAATCGAGTATTGCTTTCAATTTGTCATAGTTCTTCAATATTAAATGATTCTATCAAAAGTTCATCTATCACAAACATTCTTAAGGTAAATCGTACGTAAAATATTTCGTCTAGCGATGATAGATGAACTTTTGATAAATAGTGACAGATTCACTCTCAATATTAAACGAAATAAATATAATTATAGTATATTAAAACAGGGGACAGCATTCAGCTACATGTAATACACTTTATTTAAAATTGGAGTGCATTTTCAATTAAATAACGTTGACCTCGAGGAGGATCCATTCAATACTCCATTTTAAGCCTACATGTAATTTACTGACCGTGCTCATGAGTGAATCCAGAACACTAGCAGCAAAGACACGTCCACATGCAAATGTCTCAGTATTACATAGAGGTATGTCAGGGTCATCAGCATCATCCTGCTCCAGAAACTGACAGTTTGAGTCATTTTCTGCAAAATATAATGAAAGCATATCATTATTTAACTTTACCTAGAGGCCAAGAGGATAATACTGCAAATGCATTGATTTTGTGAGAGCAATTTTCACGGATATGTACATTAGTTTCGTTTCACATATGTATGTTTTCACAATTTTTGAGAGTGCCTCAATTTGTACCAGCTATACAATTTTAAAATATTCCCAGCATCCTGAATTCAGGATTTTATACTCACACAAATATACACAACATGGCTACGAATTTAATGTCATGAATGTTAAAGTTTGATAATATCGGTGGGTCAATGTGATGTCACAATGTTTTAAACAAGACACACAGTGGTTGGTGGTAAATATTGCATTTTGAATAGCAAAATGTCCTCCATGCAATTTATCCTGCAGGCCCAAAACCAGATCAGTTCTTGGCATTATAGTCTGCTATTTCATCTGTAAAAATTTCAAGTTGAACTGATGAGCAGTTTTACTGGGATTTTGATGCCAAGATTTATGTGACACCCACCATACGCCCATTGATATATTTTTTAAATCTATAGTAGGCTACTCACCCAGATCTGTTATCATAGGGATTGTATCACGGCCTAGCTTGGACCAACGCCGCATCATATCTAGTAAAGATGCTCCTAAAATTGAAATAATTAAGATACTGAAAATTCAGTAATTAAGTCTAGTACTGCAGGAAAAAATATAAATAAAATTTTTATTTTCCTCTTGATATTCTTTTGTTGCATATTTAAGGGTAGACAAGACATCAATATGTATTAATAATATTGAATTCATAATATAACATGGTGACCACAATGAAAATCTTAACATAAACAGCAAGGTCAATATTAGATAACAGAATTAATTGTGTAATAAATTATATTTTCAACAAAAATTTAAAAATATTGATATTGTCCCTAGGTAAGCATGGATTTACCAAATTTTAAATTATTGATATGGTCCTTAGTGAATCATGTATTTACCCTGTGAAACCATTGGTGGTACTGTTAGGGGATCTTCAAACCTCATTTTCTTGATATTCAATGAGCACAATATGGCATCCTTATCTTGTAGAGTTGGCTCGATAGAAGACCCCTTATTTGCTGAGAGGACAACACACATCTTGCAACGATTTATCCGCACACGTCGTAAATCTGCCCGACACAATGGTGACCCCTATAGTAAAAACAAATAACTATAGATGAAAAAGTAACTGACAGTATACAATATAATTCGATAACGCGATCTACGATAATAAAAGTAACAAATCCTTAGATTTGGTTTAGTTGGCATATTCCCTGACCCAAATTCAGAATGGACAACGCTTTCAAAATAATGAACAAAATCAATCCTGTTGAATCTGTGTAATAACGATTGGCATCAAATAATAGTTGTCAATATTGTTAGAAACCATATTCTAAATCAAGACTTCTTCTCTCAACAATCTCTATTTATCCAGGTAAAGTAAAAAAGAGGTTAACACATTAATTTGCAAGTCACAATGAAACTTTGACAAAATGCAGCTCAACAGCTAACAATTTAAATTGACATAAATTCAAACTTACAGGTAAGATATATACATCAGGAAAGTTTCCCAAAGTTTTCCACTCCTTTGAGAGGTAAGAATGATGCCCTACAATGACAACTGGCTTAAGTTCTGTAAGACGTAAACTACTGGCACGTAGCGGCATGACAAAGTTTGAGAGGCCTATAACAGGAGAGTCGCTGTCTGAGAGGACACAGACAACAAAGTGGTCCCTCAAGTTTTTCAATATCAATTCATTTTTCTGGTTGATCTGAAAAAGAAGCAATAGAGAGAAATAAATGCTTGAATAATGAATTAAACCGCCAGAAAACTAGATCATTTCAGAAAACTGAATACTTCAATAAAAATAGATGATACAGCTAAAACTTTTAAAGCGTGAATAATGAAAAAGAACACATTATGTTCTCCTACATTCCTAAAAATACTTAATTTTCTTCAGAAACAGAATTCTCTCAAACAACTGAACCACATCTTTTGTGATAGCACTTACAATGTTACTTTCATCTAAGCTAGAGTCTGGGCACCAGTAGAAACACCCAGTAGCATCAAACTGCTCTTTGCTCTCCCTAACCTCAAGGTAAGGCTTATTGTCTTCAAAGTTAGCATCAATAATCCTACAACATAGAGTAGCTCAATAATCAACCATCATACTGATAATCATCCTTCTTCAAGGGACTTCATTTATGTTTAAATTCAGAAAATAAGTGAAATACCCTTGGACCAGGGATGACTTATAATGTCATTTGCAATGTTTATCCAACCCCATGGGTTCAATCTTTTGGAATTACATTTTAAAGTTAAAACAGTACTGATACAACTATGGGGTACCTAGGAAGCTTTATACAACAATACGTCATCAAACTACATGGTCAAGCAAAAACAAAATCAATTAATGCAAAATTAAAGTTAAATTAAACGGCAACTTAATACAGAAATCAAAATTCTTACGTAATTGGAATGTCGCTACCACCAGGACTACTTTTTTCACTCTCGCTATGACTCTCTGTAGCACTGGTAGCGCCACCTTGAGGCACATCAATGTGAATTATTGCGGGTGATACGGCTCCACTCTCTGTTACACTATTTGTGCCATCAGATCTACATGAAATCAATTCACTAATAACAACAACAAAACCAAGCATGACGAAATAAAAGTACAAGTTACATAAAATAAAGCTCATATTTCGACAGGCATGAAAACAATTGGTTCGAATATGACTCAAAATGGTGTCTAATTTGGACTTTGACAGTTTGGGGAAAACGCAAAATTTGTTTTCAGGCCTGAAGTATTAAAACAATATATCACTTAAACAAAACTAAAATAATTTCAACTCTTTCAGCAACACAAAAGTATAATGTAAAAATACCACGACAAATTATTTATACAAAATACAATTATATCTTAAAATTAATAGGTTAGTATCAAATAATGTACTTCCAGCACCAGGTTAGTTGATAAGTCATGAAAAAGTATCTCAAACTTTTTATTGAGTATTTTTGCTTGAACATTCTCTTCTTGTAGACCATGCAACATTTTCAAATTACATCTTTGATTAAATGCTCAGTATTGAATTGAAACTTTTTCAGAACCTATAAAAATATATTTTATAGAGTAAGTGCATAGCTATCAAGAGTCTGAGCGAAGGAAAGATCGTGTATTCTAGAATCTTCAAAAAACGTTCAACTCTAAATCTAAGTTCTACATCTTTCAAAGTAATCACACAAACATTTTCCAAGAAAAAATATATTTTTAGAACATGTATTATATTGTTAATAATCTATTCGATAGGATACGGCCAACACGTCACATACATGAGCATTGCACACCTTAACCTAAAAAGAAACTATGAAGTCAGCTTTAAATATACTTCTCCCTCATATCCATAGAAGCCTAATAACAGGCCTGCTCTCTCGGCAATCAAGGAGTTAAAGTTTTCAGTACATTACATTATGTGTATTCTTTATTATCTAAACTGAGCCCATCAAGAACTGGAACCTCAACCATGGAACCTTACCCCATGACTAGGCTCAAGTGGACCTTAACCCATGACTGGACTTAAACAGTTCTTACCTCATGACCTAAGTGAGGCCTAAGTAGACCTTACTTCATGACACGGCTCAAACAGGGGGTCATTAATAGAAACTTTGTAAAGTTAAGAATTCTCAAATCAATTGTTTTAACCATGGATATAATGACTTCATATTGAGAGAACAATGGATTTTAGGAATTCCCAACTTTACTAAGTTTCTGTTTATGATCCCAGATCTTACCTCATGGCTAGGATTAATCACACTTTAAACATTAACTAGTCTTAAACATACCTTACCTCAAGACTAGGCTATTAGCGTACCTTAACCCATGGCAAGGTGAAAGTGGAAATTACCTTATGACTAGGCTATAAGCGTACCTTAACCCATGGCAAGGCCTAAGTGGACATTACCTTATGACTAGGTTATTAGCGTACCTTAACCCATGGCATGGCCAAAGTGGACATTACCTAATGACTAGGCTATTAGCGTACATTAACACATGGCAAGGCCAAAGTGGACATTACCTCATGACTAGGCTATTAGCGTACCTTAACCCATGGCAAGGCCAAAGTGAACATGACCTCATGACTAGGCTATTAGCGTACCTTAACCCATGGCAAGGCCAAAGTGAACATGACCTCATGACTAGGCTATTAGCGTACCTTAACCCATGGCAAGGCCAAAGTGAACATGACCTCATAGTCATGACTAGGCTATTAGCGTACCTTAACCCATGGCAAGGCCAAAGTGGACATTACCACATGACTAGGCTATTAGCGTACCTTAACCCATGGCAAGGCCAAAGTGGACATTACCTCATGACTAGGATTAAGCGTACCTTAACCCATGGCAAGGCCAAAGTGGACATTACCTCATGACTAGGCTATTAGCGTACCTTAACCCATGGCAAGGCCAAAGTGGACATTACCTCACAATTAGGCTTAAGCGTACCTTAATCCAAGACCAGGCCTAAAAAGACATTACCTTATAACTAGACTTAAACGTAGCTCCCGTTCTGCTTCAAGTGACAGTCTTTCATTTCCTTCTGTGTTAGTAAAACATAACATATTGGTTAAAGCAAACTTGACATAAGTATTCTTGCATAGAGTATGTGGTCCCCCACATATCTAATCTGGGGGGTGTTGATGCAACACTAAGATTAGTATTCTAACACTCACAGACATGCAATTTTGGTACACTAGAATACATTAACAAATAGCTAGGCATGCATTACTACATTTTGACCAATTAGAATGCAGTACATGCTTATCTACAGTATGTCTAAGTGTAAGGAGTATTACCTACATTACTTCATAGTTTGAACACTTTCTAAAAATTGCTTATGATAATGCATCCAACTACAGTACTATTTTACTAACTATACAACTACAATTATTATGAAAATGAAAGAGTAACTATGTAACATTAGAACTTAGGCTCCTATGATGTATTCAAGCATCGCAATGACCTGAAAGAATGGCCCACATGCTCTATCACAATATTCTTTAATTCTGAATAATAATTCTGAATTATACTTAAATAAAATGTGAAGCTTTATACAGGATGAGTACAAAAACACCCTTGGTATACGCAGCTAACGAAAATTTCGGTACGGGTCAAAAGCTGGACCGGTACGGGTTAACGGTTTTATTTGAATTTAAAACAGCCATAACTTGCTCAATATTGACTTCCTCGTGTCTAATTTGAAATATATGATGCCTCCCGATGCTTTTAAGTACCCCAATTTTTTACAGATTTTTAAACGGACCAAAACTCTCTAAATGCGCATTTATGCTCTTTTCTCTCGAGAACGACTGTCTCATTTTCACGATAACTTTTATTTAGTACTTCTAACATATAAGATCTATTTTTCCCCATCAAGGTATGATTTAAATGACATGCTATTTACATCTTGTGAGTTTCAATGACGCGCGTTTGATTTTATAAAAAATGCCAAACTTTGTGACAAAGAATTTCATCAGCTATTGCCCCGAACCGGTCCGTCTTCTCGCTGCAAGTAGATTGCCCCGAACCGGTCCGTCTTCTCGCTGCAAGCAGGATGAAATTCTTTGTCACAAAGTTTGGCATTTTTCATAAAATCAAACGCGCGTCATTGAAACTCACAAGATGTAAATAGCATGTCATTTACATCATACCTTGATGGGGAAAAATAGATCTTATATGTTAGAAGTACTAAATAAAAGTTATCGTGAAAATAAGACAGTCGTTCTCGAGAGAAAAGAGCATAAATGCGCATTTAGAGAGTTTTTGTCCGTTTAAAAATCTGTAAAAAATTGGGGTACTTAAAAGCATCGGGAGGAATCATTTATTTCAAATTAGACACGAGGAAGTCAATATTGAGCAAGTTATAGCTATTTCAAATTCAAATAAAACCGTTAACCCGTACCGGTCCAGCTTTTGACCCGTACCGGTCAATTTTCGTTAGCTGCGTATACCAAGGGTGAAAAATGGTATCAAAATAATTCATATATCATCTTGATTTTCTCTTGAATTGTACCCATCAGTGCACTATTCATGCATCAGATCTTGGGGGTATTAGATTTTGAGATATTGTATCTAGTATCATAGGAGCCTAGCCTCAATTAGAACTATATTATACTAACTATTGTGAAATCACAATGCACGATGCCTGTCTATATCATAAGAACTTCAATACAAGCACACCTACCCAGTGTTGTTATTCGGGCGTTTGAATAATTTGTTTGATAAAAATCCACCATCAGCTTCCAAAGGGTCAACCACTGGGTTATTATGAGCATTGATTAGGGTGCCATCTATAAACAAAAACCCACACCAGGCATGCATTCACGTGTGTTAGGACATAAATTCACATTCATTAAATAATTCCACAATTTTTTAACAGAGGTTAAAAGTAGTGAATATTTTTTGTACATTTCTATATTTCAATAAAGACTAGATTAGGTATATCACCAAGGTGCTAAATACAAATTCAATTTGAGTCATTTTCCAGGAACTCTTACCCTTTTCCTTCTCTGCCATAGGTAAAATGCCAGCATAAAGAAAGATTAAATTGAACTGACCACTTTAACCTCAGTAAAACAAAACAAAATGCACACAGCAGTGTTGTAAGAAATAATGATGTTATATACACAACATTTTACAAAATTATGGTAATAATGTCACAAACTGTATAAAATACATTTACAGAATCATGTTACCAGAACGAACAAGAGTTGGTTGATTACCTGTTGAGCAAGTGCAGTCTTTAATGCGTTTCACACCAAATAGCTGACCATGGCATAGTGGGCAGTATATTGATGCTCTGGAATAAAACACACAAATATGTGAGCACAATTTTGCCAAAAATGCGAAATTTATTTTAATCTATTTCAGAAACATAGCAATACAGACATACTGCATCAAGTCTACTAGCCCTTCACTACTTATCATCCACCAAGAAAGAAGAAAGGGATTAACATGGAAAATATCACAACCTAACATTTGTTACAGACACTGAAAAAAGTTGGAGATTATAACAAGATGTCACAACTTGTGGTGGTGACATATAATAGGGGGATTTCTTTGAAATCTATGATGCAGACACAAAGAGACTGAAACAATTTTAAACATTTCAACATTAAAAATCTTGATCTCCTTTTTATTTAGAGATTAACTACTTGTTTTAAGTATATTATTTTCATATTATTCATATACCCTGATTAGGGTTTCAAAATCAACAAACTTAAACTAAGTGAATGATTCATTCATCACCTGTATGCTTCCTCACTTGACTGTGCCACAAAGAAGCCTTGCATCCCTCTTTGTATTTTCACATCTGGGCCTGGATTGAGGAGAACTACTGCCTTGTCTTTGTGAGACACCTCTAGGCCTATCACCAGCATATGTAGCTTAGTAAAACACACCCTAAAACAGAAAAAGTATATGAAAAACATTTTTAGGATAAATAACTTCATCCTAATCCTATATACGAGGGGTGGTCCAAAAGTCTTGGACGCCCCGCTCTAACTTTGCTATTTTCTAATATAATTACATGAAACTTTCAGAAAATAAAGATCAACATCTTAACAACTTTGTGTATAAGTTTCACCAGAAATAATATATTTTAGCTACTTTCCTAAATATTTTTTGATACCGGGTCCTTGCTACCCGGAACGGTATCTAAATATAGGAAATCACGTCACAACTGTTATAATATGGCAAATACTTTAGGTGCAGGTGCACAACCTAACACCAGTCATGATATGAGAGAATTTCCGATTTTCAGTCTGAGTGTCATCTGCCGTCATCATCTTCACATATTAAGACCTACTTTTCAACATATTTTCCGCGAATTTGAACACATTTTTCATACCGCTTTACCAATGAATGAAAGACATTTATGAAACCGCCATTGCTTATGTGATACAAATGCTGCTGGAGTGCCACTCTAAACCTCATCCAATGAGTAAAAAACATTTTCTTTCAACCCTCCTTTCAACTTGGAGAAAAGAAAGAAAATCACATGGAGCCATATCTAGACTGTATCGTGCATTTGTTAGTTGCTCAAGGTCAATAATAGTGAAAATATATTGTAGTATTCTTTGTTTCACTTTGATTTCTTTCATGTTCTGCATTTCAGCAGCCATCTTGGAGCAAAAATGATACCAGAATGAGGGTTGATTGTCTGATGTCATTTTCTTAGAACTTGACATATACGGCCATTGTCATATGTGACATTATGATTAAAACACAATTAATTGGTTGCCTAGTAACAAAAGAAACTAGCATAAAATATATCATTTCACCTTGAAATTGATACACAAAGTAGTTAGGTTGTTGGTCTTTATTATTGGAAAGTTTAAAGTAATTTTATCAAAAACCAACAAAATTGGAGCAGGGCGTCCAAGACTTTTGGATCACCCCTCGTACTATAATTCATCTTTGCCCTTTCCTAAATGGGACTTTATACTGAGGTCATCCTTTCAAGATATTGTGATATCCTTCTTTAGTACAAACAAGGCACAGACGTGAACAATATCGTACCTAAAACACAGCATTGTGGTCTTGTTGACCAAGAAAGCAAGATGGCCGCAGAAAAGTTAATCAGCTCTAGAACTTATCACTGTGTAACATATGTAAAAATTTGAACGGTTTGGCTGGAAACCTGTAGACCTTAAAATTTACCCAGAATGCCCAAAAACCAACAATCAGCTCTTGACGTTGATATGTAGAAGCATCCCTGAAAATTTCGGATGAATCCCTCAAATGGTTTGGCTGAAAATCTGTAGACAAGTCTTGAAAGTGAAGATTTTAGGACGGAAAATCCAAAATGGCCACCTTAAAATTTACTCACAATGGCCAAAAACTAATCAGTTCTTGACGTTGATATGTAGAAACATCCCTGAAAATTTCAGATGAATCCCTCAAATGATTTGGCTGAAAATCTGTAGACAAGTCTTGAAAGTGAAGATTTTAGGATGGAAAATCCAAAATGGCCACCTTAAAATTTACTCACAATGGCCAAAAACTAATCAGTTCTTGACATTGATATGTAGAAACATCCCTGAAAATTTCAGATGAATCCCTCAAATGGTTTGGCTGGAAACCTGTAGACAAGTCTTGAAAGTAAAGATTTTAGGACGGAAAATCCAAAATGGCCACCTTAAGATTTACCCAGAATGCCCCAAAACCAATCAGTTCTTGACGTTGATATGTAGAAACATCCCTGAAAATTTCAGATGAATCCCTCAAATGGTTTGGCTGAAAACCTGTAGACAAGTCTTGAAAGTGAAGATTTTAGGACAGAAAATCCAAAATGGCCACCTTAAAATTTACCCAGAATGCCCAAAAACTAATCAGTTCTGGACGTTGATATGTAGAAACATCCCTGAAAATTTCAGATGAATCCCTCAAATGGTTTGGCTGGAAACCTGTAGACAAGTCTTGAAAGTAAAAATTTTAGGACGGAAAATCCAAAATGGCCACCTTTAAATTTACCCAGAATGCCCAAAAACTAATCAGTTCTTAACGTTGATATGTAGAAACATCCCTGAAAATTTCAGATGAATCCCTCAAATGGTTTGGCTGAAAACCTGTAGACAAGTCTTGAAAGTGAAGATTTTAGGATGGAAAATCCAAAATGGCCACCTTAAAATTTACTCAGAATGCCCAAAAACTAATCAGTTCTTGACGTTGATATGTAGAAACATCCCTGAAAATTTCAGATGAATCCCTCAAATGGTTTGGCTGGAAACCAGTAGACAAGCTGAAAAGTGAGACGCCACCCGCCACCCGCCGCCCGTTAAGCTGACTACAATATTGCACCTCTTGTTAGGTACGATAAAAACAATATACAACTAGAAAAACAGCAACTCCACGGAGTAGCAAATCCCACCGAACGGCAGTTGAGTTACCAAAGATTACGAAAATGAAAATGAAAAATGGCAGCCATTCTGAAGATCAGCCGCCATCTTAAAAAAATTTTCTCGAACAGAGCTACTGTGTTTCTAGGCATCAGCATATAAAATTTGAACCAAATCTGTTCACTGGTATTTGACTTATCAAAGATTACGTTTTTTCTTATGAAAAATGGCTACCATTTTGAAATTCAGCCGCCATCTTGAAAAAATTTTCTCGAACAGATCTACTGTGTCCCTAGGAATCATCATATAAAAATGAGCCAAATCTGTTCACTGGTATTTGAGTTATCAAAGATTACGTTTTTTACGAAAAATGGCGTCCATTTTGAAATTCAGCCGCCATCTTGAAAATTCTTTCTCGAACAGATCTCCTTTGTCCCTAGGCATCATCATATAAAATTTGAGCCAAATCCGTTCACTGGTATTGAGTTATCAAAGATTACCTTTTTTACGAAAAATGGCCGCCATTTTGAATATCAAGCCGCCATCTTGAAAATTCTTTCTTGAACAGATCTATTGTGTCCCTAGGCATTATCATATAAAATTTGAGCCAAATCCGTTCACTGGTATTTGAGTTATCAAAGATTACCTTTTTTTACGAAAAATGGCCGCCATTTTGAATATCAAGCCGCCATCTTGAAAATTCTTTCTTGAACAGATCTATTGTGTCCCTAGGCATTATCATATAAAATTTGAGCCAAATCTGTTTACTGGTATTTGAGTTATCAAAGATTAAGTTTTTTTACGAAAAATGGCTGCCATTTTGAAATCTAGCCGCCATCTTGAAAATTTTTACTGGGACATATCTACTGTGTCCCTAGGCATCAGCATATAAAATTTGAACCAAATCCGCAAACTAGTATTTGAGTTATTAAAGATTACATTTTTTACGAAAAATGGCGGCCATCTTGAATTCAGTGGCCATATTGAGAATTCCTTCTCGAGCAGAGGTCCTACACCCATAAGGCATAAGCCTATAAAATTTGAATCAAATCCGTGAAACGGTATTTGAGTTATCGCCCGGACAAACAGACGGACGGACGGACAGACGGACGGATGGACGAATGGACGGATGGACGGACGGCTTTCCTATATCCCTCTCGAACTTCGTTCGGTGGGATAACCAACCTAGGTATAATCTGTATCATCATCTAATCATATCTAATTCATCCCACTTTCATACTCACTCTACAGCTTGGGGGAATGTCATGCCATAGAAGGCTCTGGAGAAGTATTCCGTATATAGCTCCATACCAAGTCCACTAAAGTAATTGTTCTTCCATTCATCATATCTGGAAGACTGGAAAATATGAACACATTTATGGATTACAACAATCAGGAGGGATTGAGGTATAATGACACTGACGAAAATACTAATATACTCCTTGGAGCACATTTTATTCCATCAAACTGGTAGATAATGAACAACTATAAATTTAATTAGCTTGTAGACTCAAATTCATGTTTGCTTTATATTTAGCCTATCGTTTTAAACCCTAATCCACATTTGACCTTGACCTTCCTTCTTACATGCTAATTCAAACATTACACAAATTACAAACACTCGTACTCCAGTATACATACCTTTTTATGTGATGTCATCATGAAGAGATTCGCCATGAGAGTTGAGAATCCAGGCGCAAGACAGGCCTGGGCTATAAATCCTAACTTCATCTCAGCCAAGCAGATAACACTGTCAGACTGCATATGCCAGTCAGGGATGTTGAGCAAATAATTCTGAAAAAAAGTACAAAGTTCACCTACCAGAATAAACAGTGCAAGAAGATGTCAGAATAAAAGTGGCAAAAATGAAAAGTTGCAATCTTTTCTGCATTAGATAATAATTTCCCAGCACTGTGTAAATGTTGTAATGCTTTAAAGGGAGTGATGGAATTTACATCACTATGGTGACCCTTGACACTGATGACACTTACTTTATTATGATATTGCAGCAGTTGTATGATGATGCTCACATCACCATGGTAATCCTTGATGCTGATGACACGCATGATGTTGGCAGCATCCTCAGCATCAGGATTATCACAGTGTTTATTTGCCAGCAGCAAAACAGCATCAGCCTCTTTTAACTGAAAAACAAATATTATATAGCGGATTCTGAAACAGTAAATATTTTTAAAATTATGAAAAACTAAATATGAACAAGATTTGATTTATGCGGCACCCATCTGCCCATCAGCACAAGAGGACAGCAATATAGCACTTTTTCAAAGTGCAATAAAAAGGGAAGATACTTAAGATGCTTATGAAATGGCAAAGATTCATATGTACATTGTATATTTTTCTGTGTTATTACTGTGAAATATTACAAACAAATGTTCTGGACGAATAATCTAAAGAGATATCATTGGAGCTGTTAAGCTCAATTAATGTTTCTCATTTAATACCTTGACTCTATCTAAGTCCTCAGACACCATGACAGAACCCTCATAGAACCGCACATGTGTATAGTGACGTTTCATCAGGGCTTCAAGTTCAAGGTTTGGTGGCTCTCTGTAAATATATATTCATATGTTGTCAAAGACATATATTTAAAAATAGTGTTCAGGTGTTCTTGTTTTTAACAGACCAAAGTATTTAAGGTTCTTCATGATATAGAGATATAAGTCTTCCATGATATAGAGATATAAGTCTTCCAAAGACTATTTTTAATCAGAAAAGAAACATTGAATGAATTCTGAATCATGATCTTCAAAAAGATAATTTACACATTGAACAAAAAGAATAAGAAAAATACAACAAATGCCTCAAAATTGGCTGATCTGCAATAACAGTTACATCTATGTCAAAAAGATGACATGAAAAATGTAAATTAGACTTACGTGTGTAGGAAAACGATCATGACATCTCTGTCTTCTTGGTCTTGATGAAGGAACTGAGCAAGAAATTTTTCAACTGTTCGAGTACTTATGTGACCACACACAACTATGTGCCTAAAATATAGAATATTCATACATAACAAAATTTTGTTTTATTTCAGTAAATCGAGGATATTTCATTCAAAGAATTAATAGGTAGTGAGGTAGCACCGAAAAATGTACCCGCTTCTGAACAAATTGAAATTACTTGTTTCTTATGTATTTTTATGTGAAACTTCAGAAAATTTTTGTCTGACGCGCCATATCCGGGGCGAAAGTTGTCAAAATTGGGTTTTTGACCCTAAAAAGGAAAATTACAGGGGGTACATTAACATCATTGAATAATTCATTCAGTTAGTCTTCAATCATCATAATGATTTTATTGAGAGTTGATGAGATCATTTTAAGGTAGAATGCAAACTTTCAATGGTCTGTCACTCGTGGTTGCCATGGAAACCACAATTTTTGCTGAAAAAATCCTTAATTTTGGTAAAACCTGTACCTGTACATAATATAGAATGTGGATTATTTTTCAAATCAACAGATATCAGAACATTTTAGCACTCTAAAAATCACCAGGGCTGTCCAAACATTTGTTTAAAGAGAAAGAATATTGCAATTTATATGACTGGTAAGTGTCAAAGACCATACAATTACATAAGCGGTCAAAAGTGGGCGTCACCCTCATAATAGTAGTTGATTGCCATTCTCTATAAATACAGAGTTTTACTTGACTTTTGAGATACATTTATATTGAATTTCTTTGGTTATACTTAATATCAAGCATTTTTACATCTAAGTGTTATAGTTATTGCATGGGGATACAGGGGGGAGGGGGGAGGGGGGGGGGGTAGTAACAGAATCTGGAGGGGGCAGAGCTTATCAGCCTTAAGTGTAAATCTCATCTATATGGTTCTAGATTTCATAGAGTACAGCTTCTGGGTCTTATTATATTCATCTCAATATATAAGATATAAGAATTTACATGGTTGGTAAGTGTCAAAGACCATAGAATTACACATGTGATCAAAAGTGGGCGTCGCCCTAATCATAGTATATGGTTCATTCTCTATAAATACAGAGTTTAACTTGACTTTTGAAGTACATTTACTTAAAAACATCTTTTATTTATACTTAATGTCAAGCATTTCTGGTAAGTTATATATGTACATCTAATTGTAATAGTTATTGTCTGGGGGTGGAGGAGGGGGGGGGAGAGTAACAGAATTGGAAATGGGCAGAGCTAATAAGTCTTAAATGTAAATCTCATTTATTTAGTTCTGGATTTCAAGGGGTGCATCTTCTGGGTCTTCTTCACATTCATGTCAATATATGGGATATTCCAATTTACATGATTGGTAAGTGTCAAAGACCATACAATTACATAAGTGATCAAAAGTTGGTGTTGCTCTAACAATAGTAGATAATTCATTCTCTATGAATATGGAGTTTAACTTGACTTTAAGATTTATTTTTTAAATTAAAACTTCTTTGATTACATTTAGTATTGTAATAGTTATTCCCTGTGGGGGGGGGGGCAAGGGGGGTAGTAGCAGAAATGGGAGGGGGCAGAGTCAATGGCCAGTCAGTCTTAATATCATAGTCTGATCATTTTCATTCACCTCCCGGTGTTAATATATTAACAATATCATGTGGGAGAATATACCACTACACTTGCAGATTTGAGAGTCATTCAGTTGAGTGTATCTATATGGCGCTCCACCTTTGCCTTTTAAAAAGGTGCTATTGCTATTGCCCCTTCTGCATGGCACTTCATCTGTGAATGTGTGAAGTGCTAGGAAGGCTGCATATATGTCAGGGTCTATATTGGAGGAAATACCACTGAAATCAGTCTTCATTTGTTTCCAACTCAAGTATCCAGCAGCACACTTTGCTGTATTTGCTTTTTGTTTTCATCATCATACAAGAACTAATTCCAATCTTTAGGGACTCGTGTTTTCTACCCTCTTTCAGGTTCCTTTATAGAATTTTTGATGTAATTATCACATACAAAAACTAATCTACTGCAATTGTAGAATCTTGAAACAGTCTCCGCCAGATCCAGAAACAAAACTACCTTTCAAGTTGAATTATGGTTTGGGATAGTTGGGGTTTGTTTTCCTTATGACTTGTATACATTTAGAAGTTTTCTTTTTCTTGCTGGGTTCTATTACAAATTTTGGTCCTTTCCCTTTGGCACTTGTGGGTACACGTTCATGCATAAGAATGCGTTTCTCTGTTCTTGCAAGAAGTCCAGTCAGTGTTCCTAGAGCCCAAGGCACAGGGCTCAATAAGAACTGCAGGAGACATTCTAGGCTAATTTTATGTTCTTAGCAAGATCAAAGCTGTTCAAAGATGTTTCATTCAGAATGTATTTGTATAAGCTTGTTCTGAGTACTTTTTTACTGTCACTGTCACTGTTGCTGCTGTAGTTTGCTGCTATAGTTTTCAATTTCATATGTTTTATTAGATCATGGAATCTTTTTTTCAACTAATCTCAGATGGTATCTCTTCATGCAATTTCCCCTTTTGACTTAAATTAGATGAGATCTGCAGCGACATCATTTGGCACAGATTTTCCTTATGATACACCGTAGAGATGACCTTCATCCTCAATGGTAAATGGATCAAGGAAGTCTTTGATTGCGGTTTTTGTCATCTTTATGTCTTTTTCTATACTTGCTATTTGTGCCTTTCCAAGGTCATTATGGGTGTCACACTCATCTCATCTCTAGATAATAGATTGTTGTAACCATCTCATCCATATAAAGCACTTATTGTCTGTATGGCCCATATTGCAAATCCTCGTAGTGAACCACCAGATGGACTTGAATGGAAACTAAATGACTCCATATCTTTCCAGTGGGTATTGACTGATATTCTCATACAAGAGATTGGTGATATAGCAACACCAGGAGATGAATCAGAAAACTCCAGAAGATGTACCCTATGAAATCCAGAATTAAAAAGATGAGATTTATACTTAAGCCAGATTAAATCTACACATTCTAATTCTGTTACTACTCACCCCTGCCCAAATGTAAAAACTATAATACTTACACAGATGTATTTACCAGAAATGCTTGACATAAATTATAATAACAACAGTTCAGTATAACTATGAATGTATCTCAAAAGTCAAGTTCAATTTTGTACAAAGAACCAATCATCTACTATTGTTAGGGTGACACTCCTTTTGATCATTTATAAATATGTAATTGTATAATGTTTGACAAATCCTGTAAATTGTAATATCCCATATATTGAGATGAATATGAAGAAGACCCAGACGATGTGTCCCATGAAATCCAGAACTATGCAGATGAGATTTATACTTAAGACTGATTACCTCTGCCCCCTCCCAATTCTGTTACTACTCTCCCCCATCCTCCCCCAGGCAAGAGCTATTACAATTAGATGTGTATTACTAACCAGAAATGCTTGAAATTAAGTATAATCAAAGAAGTTGTAATGTAAATGTATCTCAAAAGTCAACTTAGACTCTGTATTTATAGAGAATGAATCTATGATAAGGGCGACGCCTACTTTTGATCACTTGAGTAATTCTATGGTCTTTATACTTACCAATCATGCAGAATTATAATATCCTATATGAATGTGAAGAAGACCCAGAAGATGTACCCCATGAAATCCAGAACTATGTAGATGAGATTTATACTTAAGGGTGATTAGCTTTGCCCTCTTCCAATTCTGTTACCCCCCCCCCCCATCTACCCCCTCCCCAATGCAATAAGTATAACACTTACATGTACATTATTTACCAAAAATGCTTCATATTTAGTATAACCAAAGAACATCATTATAAATGTATCTCAAAAGTCAAGTAAGACTCTGTATTTTTAGAGAATGGCAATCATCTACTATGATAAGGGCGACGCCCACTTTTGATCACTTATGTAATTGTATGGTCTTTGACACTCCCCAGTTATATTAATTGCAATATCCTTTATATTTAAATAAATGTTTGAACTGCCCTGATAATTTTGAAAATGCTAAAATGTTCTGATATCTGTTGATTTGAAAAATAATCCACATTCTATATTATGTACAGGTACAGGTTTTACCCAAATTAAGGATTTTCTCAGCAAAAATTGTGGTTTCCATGGCAACCACGAGTGACAGACCATTGAAAGTTTGCATACTACCTAAAATGATCTCATCAACTCTCGATAAAATTATTATGATGATTGACGACCAACTGAATGAATTATTCAATGATGATAATGTACCCCCTGTAATTTTCCTTTTTAGGGTCAAAAACCCAATTTTGACAACTTTCGCCCCGGATACGGCGCGTCAGACAAAAATTTTCTGAAGTATCACATAAAAATACATAAGAAACAAGTAATTTCAATTTGTTCAGAAGCGGGTACATTTTTCGGTGCTACCTCACTAACTATAAGGAATGAATTATTCAAAAACTTTGCTAAAATAAAACACTTTCCATATACAATTTAATAGTACCATGCACCATATTATGATACAGTTTTGTCAATTAAATGATTTAATCAAACATACTTTCCAAATCCTCTGTCATATGAGCCGCCATATTTCTTCCGCATTCCTAATATGGTGATCATCTCCGGAATCACACTTGTAAACATAGCCTGAAATATACAACTTTTTAAAACATATTGTTCATATTTTATAAATCTGATAAATAATGGTCAATTCATCAAAAATGTGCTGCAAATCTCCTTAAGTTATTTGTGAATTAGAATACTCACTACGGAGAAAAAACAAAACAAAATCGAACTTGAATTTCAATACAGGTTAATTAGGTTATCTTTGAAAAATTGCACAACAAAGACAAGCAAACTCAACTCTGTCAAAATTAATTTTGGACTTAAGAAATAATGAAATGGAAAAAAGTTAATTATCATGTTAAAACATATTTTGAATTACTTCACATTATATGACTGTTTGATGAATTGACTTACTAAAGCTCCTATGATGAAGAATACAATAAAGACTTTCCCAATCACTGTTTTACAGTAGAGGTCACCATAGCCGACAGTTGACATGGTAACCATACATATATAGAGACAGTTCCAGTAACCAAGGGGCTGGGAATTACTAAAGTCTAACGGATCACCAGAGTTTTCTACCTAAAGTGTAAAATGAAAACAATATGATTCACAATTGGTTATTTTAAATAATTCATTTAATAAAATATAGTAATTTGATTTATTATTCATCTATAAAACATTATAAAACAAACATCACAAGCAATTAGCTTTGATTTCCAATATTTGGAAAATCCTCTTAGTAACACTATCTCTAGGTTTATGATATCATATTACATAGTAGTAGAAACTGCTCAGTGGAACACCTCTATAAGTGGAACACCTCTGTTAGTGGAACATCTCTGTAAGTGGAACACCTCACAAGCCCAGTGACTCCTTGTTAATGAACCCTCTCTAAGAGAAACAACTTGCAAGTGGAACACCTTTTTGTGGTCCCTAGGGTGTTCCACTTACACAGGTTCCACTGATAACAATTAATCAGATTCTCATAACCGCATACATGTACATGTACACACATACCAAATGTATGAATCCAGCACCTGCCAGCCAAACACTGAAGAAGACCATGATCAGCTGCCAGAGGCGAATCACAGAATTCTTCTTTATAAGACCAAGAAACTGCATCACATCAGGGAAAGACTGTAGGGCCAAGGCTCGCAGGAATCTCAAACCTAAAATGTAAATTCAAAGACAGTTTAATTTCATATAACCAATGATGTTTCTTGCATCACTTGATTTGTACCTTGAAGGTATTGCCAGGATCAAAGGGAGTGTTTCTTTGTTGTACATATATCAACCAGTCTAAAATGAAATCAGAGATAGCGTTGATACTATAAAGCATAGGGCCTAGGTGTTCAATTTCCAAGTAGAATGATAATAATTTTTAATTTTCATTACTTTTCTTATTTTCAAGTGGGTGCAATTAGGTTTTCAAGTGGGTGCAGGACTATTTTCAACATCTCAAGTGGGGCAGCACCGTTGATTCATTGATGGAGATCAATGTTTGTGGTACATAACTTATTCCATGGTCAATGCGAGAAAGCAACATCTTGCTGAAAGGCATCATTGCAAATGTTGCGTTTAATAATATGGAATTGGATTGATGGTTAAGGATCAAGAGTGGAAACATTATGAAGAACTTCAAGAATGTCAGACAGGAATTTCATCTAAATTCATAAGATTATATTTAGAATACGTGCACTGTAATATCAATCTTGCATGCATGTTTACAAATGTAAATGATAAAATGGATTTTATTTTCAAAATTTCACAATGGATTCCAAAATGATCAGAGATGTTGCATATGTGTGTATATTTTATAATAAAAACAAAAAGTTAAATTAATTGTTTTTCAAACATGCGTTTTAACAAAATCAAATCAAATCATTTTTAACTAGTATTCAAGGCTGATACCAAAAAACTTTTTTGTAAATGCATGTTCACACACCTCTGGTTAGTGCATATAAAAATGTGTCTGTGTGTCTCTGGTCAAACACGAACAATGCAAACGATCACATGAGAACGATAAAGCTTACAAGCTGTACTAATCCACTAAATTCTATAATCCATTAGGCTTCAAAAAATCACTTAAGATTCTTATTGAAAGAAAATTCTGACATAGACACACAAAAAAACGCAACAAATTGTTATCTCGGAAAAGCACAAAACCAGTGATAACAGCATTGATTTCATTTAATGTACCACAAGCCATGTGTCTCCTCTTTCCAATGGTATATCATTTGTTGATATTGGGTCAAGGTTGGGCGAGTAATCATTCCTTTTGCCATGTTTGCAAAGTGGGTCAAAATTAGCTTGGGACCAAGTTATAAAATTGCGAAAGTCAGTGTACGGGGCCCGATGCAATATTGGAAGAAAATATAAAACCAATGATGATGGCACACTTTTCATTCAATCTACCAAAAAGCCAAATTATTCATTCTCACGGAGTTATGGATGGCCAAATGATCATTAATTTCGCAAAGTGAGGCAAAATTCAGCTCGGAACCAAGTTGTAAACATTGCAAAAGTCAGTGCATGGGGCATAATTGCTATTGGAAAAAGGTGTGGCAGGTGTGACATAGACAGTAAAAAGTTCATACTCATATTCTTGCAAGAATACATCCTATACCGCTCCAAATGGCAACCACTTCTTTGCACAAAAAGATGCGCTCATCTCTCCATGTCATGCATGGTTAAGCCTTGAGTCATCTGTAGATTAAGGCAGGGAACAGCAGCCCAATAAGGCAATTATTTCTCAAAGTTTTGTAATATCTGGTGGAGAAATGGTTAACACTCTGCTCCTGAGATAGCTCCGAAAGAAAAAGTCACAACGATTCAGGTCAGGAGGATTTCCATTAGCACTAAGCCCTTGCACTGACTTTTGCAATATCTGAAACTTGGTCCAGAGCCGACTTTGATCCACTGTGCAAAAGGAAGGATTTCTCATCCACCCATGACCACATGTGAATGAATGACATATCATTGCAAAGAAAAGGGATGTGGCTTTATGGTACATTAAATGAAATTGATGTAGTCATCACTAGTTTCGTGATTTTATGAGATAACTGCTTGTTGCGTTTTTTTTAGATGCCCTGTATAGGACTTGCTGATTTTCAAATGCTACCATTGTGACATTTTTCTTTGGGAATTCAGTATAACTATGAAGTATGTTGGAGAGATTACATCATTAAGAATAGTAAATTATGATATTTTCACTCGAAAATGGTCACATGACATGACTGTTTTGATTAAAATTCCAAGAAGAAAATCTAAAAAAATTTTGTTTGTTTATATACATACAAAGTTCTAAGATTTCTAGCAAATAAAGAAGACATCAGATCAAATCTAATCATTTTCAAAAGGACAATCAAACAGACCATGAAGGGTTCTTCAACAAACGAGTCACAGAAACTTAACATCCTTGGGAAGTAACACATTGTTTTGTGTCAATGACAAATGTAGAATATAAAAATTGATATTCTATAGTACTTCTGAGAGAGACTCAACTGACAATTGTCTAGAACATTTCAAGTATGATTGATTTCCAATTACACATTATTGAACAAAATAAAACAATGCCAGACATTAATGCCTACTTCATTATATTATAAACTTAGAGTACAGAACAAATAGAGAGTATTAACTATAATGTGACTTAAAGTGGCAATCATATATTGTAGAAGATATTAATTATAATGTGACTGATTATAAGTGGCAATAATAAAAATGTAGAGGATATTGTATTTTGTCTTAAAGTGGCAATAATATATTGCACAAGATATTAGCTATGTTTTTTAAGTAATATAAATATCTCAGTTAAGGATCGGGAAACCACCAATCAATGGTATTTTGATTTAAAGTTTTAAAGTGTGGGTGTTTTAGTCAGAGGAATAACTGACTTAATTCAATTGAATGATTTTCTAAAAAGAAATTGAATGATGGCTTCCCTTACATGCTTCCGGATCTGTGATGATTTGAAGATAAGATGAAAGTCAAATGTTTGACTGACGACTTTTCAACCTCACCTCTATAGAAAAAAAATACAGACAATTTTCATAGATGCAACCTTTCTCTAAGACATTTCTGACATTCCTGTAATATACTTAATCTAAACAGCTAGACAAGGTTAATATACTTAATAACTATGTCATTCTGTATTCTCCCTATTTAACGCACATGTCAATATTTGCCAGATGCACTTATTAGCCTAAAAAATATGTTTCCACACATGCCCGTATGTATTATTTTTCTTCAAATTAATTTTCAACAATTTTGAATGTTAGCTTCATGCCAATCGATTCAAAACTTGGTTATGATTAGTCAACCCCTTTTCATCTTATTTTGAGTTATATTTGTTCAAAATGACTGTGCGTTTTTTAGAGAGAATATTCTATTCTACACTATTGACACTTACTAGGGAATCCTACAGCAGTTAATCATAGGTTTTCATAGATATTATGTTAAATAGTAGATTAACATACTACTACTGCTATACTTATTCATGCATGGTTGGGTATTACAAATCTGTTCTAGTATTTAAAATAAATAGAATGAAATAAGGTAGAAAGCTGGGATTGGGAACCTTGAATTGACGGCTCCCACATGACAATGGCATCATTGAGGCATGCCAAAGATTATGTATTCCACTCATTCTTAACCTACTGGGTGTGGCATAAGTGCTGTCAAAGAGACCTTAAGCCAAATCGAACAAATGCAAAAAAATCTCTGCAATGTGTACCTTTCTATATGTAACAATTTTCAAAAGAAACAAATCCCACTGACTTACAGACTTAGAACTCTCTTTGAAGGGATCAGTCTATAAGGAACAATTTTTGCTAATACTGAGCATGTTTCATATAAAGAAGTTTTATTGAATACAAAAAAGTATCCCAACTTCAAAGGCAGTTTACTAAAATTCTGAGCAATATTTCTGAAATAAAAAGGTAGCAGTAAAATGCTTAGTTTGTCCTCTATCAAATGGTACCTAGATCATTATGTAACTGTCATGAAAGACTTCAAACAATTATGACTTTTTTATGGACTGCCTGAATAGGAAAATAACACAGAATCTGGTCAAGAATTCAATTTTACCTATAGGTCTACAACCCTTTTGATGCACCTTGTTCTGAACTGTCATTATCATAGAGTCATAAAATGAGTTTTTGTCAAATGAGTGCATACTTTTAATATTAGCAAAATTGGAACCCCAAATATACAACGTACATGATTTTGGAAAACTTACCGAGCCAGTTTCTGTTGAGATAGACAGCAACAAAGACAGGAGGAACTGTGAAGTAATCCACTATGGAATATATATCTATCCAAAACATCAACTTGTCATTGGCTGCTACAAACTGAAATGTACACAAAGTATAATAATTATGATTGAAAACTTTAAAGAAAAAATGGTACAAAGGATAACTTCATTACTGCTGGTAAGAGAACTTGATACAGTAACATTACAAAAGAGACCTTGATACAATACTGTTATGAAAGAGAAGTTGTACTTTTACAAAATAAGACATGATAAGAAGTGATACAGAAAAACTTGATGCATTACTGTTACAAAGAACTTAATAGCGTCCCTACAAATGAGAATTGGATGAAAAGTTTTTTACCAGGAATATCTATCATGATTTCATTTAAACCATTGTTCTATACTGAATTTTAAAACCACACTGAATTTATATTTTTTACATGCGTTTGACAAATGTTAGTATTTTTTAAAATAACAAACTTACCCTGATGAAGAAATAGAGAAGGAAAAATAAATTGATGGCAAGGTCTATTTGTTGGGTATAACTCTCTAACCATGGAGTGCAGTCTTCTACATCATGCCTATAACATTAATATAAATACAGTAAGGTCTATTTGTTGGGTATTACTCTCTAACCATGGTGTACAGTCTTCAACATCATGCCTATAACATTAATATAAATACAGTAAGGTCTATTTGTTGGGTATTACTCTCTAACCATGGTGTGCAGTCTTCAACATCATGCCTATAACATTAATATAAATACAGTAAGGTCTATTTGTTGGGTATTACTCTCTAACCATGGTGTGCAGTCTTCAACATCATGCCTATAACATTAATATAAATACAGTAAGGTCTATTTGTTGGGTATTACTCTCTAACCATGGAGTGCAGTCTTCTACATCATGCCTATAACATAAATATAAATACAGTAAGGTCTATTTGTTGGGTATTACTCTCTAACCATGGAGTGCAGTCTTCTACATCATGCCTATAACATTAATATAAATACAGTAAGGTCTATTTGTTGGGTATTACTCTCTAACCATGGAGTGCAGTCTTCAACATCATGCCTATAACATTAATATAAATACAGTAAGGTCTATTTGTTTGGTATTACTCTCTAACCATGGAGTGCAGTCTTCTACATCATGCCTATAACATTAATATAAATACAGTAAGGTCTATTTGTTGGGTATTACTCTCTAACCATGGAGTGCAGTCTTCTACATCATGCCTATAACATAATATAAATACAGTAAGGTCTATTTGTTGGGTATTACTCTCTAACCATGGTGTACAGTCTTCAACATCATGCCTATAACATTAATATAAATACAGTAAGGTCTATTTGTTGGGTATTACTCTCTAACCATGGAGTGCAGTCTTCTACATCATGCCTATAACATTAATATAAATACAGTAAGGTCTATTTGTTGGGTATTACTCTCTAACCATGGAGTGCAGTCTTCAACATCATGCCTATAACATTAATATAAATACAGTAAGGTCTATTTGTTGGGTATTACTCTCTAACCATGGAGTGCAGTCTTCTACATCATGCCTATAACATTAATATAAATACAGTAAGGTCTATTTGTTGGGTATTACTCTCTAACCATGGTGTACAGTCTTCTACATCATGCCTATAACATTAATATAAATACAGTAAGGTCTATTTGTTGGGTATTACTCTCTAACCATGGAGTGCAGTCTTCTACATCATGCCTATAACATTAATATAAATACAGTAAGGTCTATTTGTTGGGTATTACTCTCTAACCATGGAGTGCAGTCTTCTACATCATGCCTATAACATTAATATAAATACAGTAAGGTCTATTTGTTGGGTATTACTCTCTAACCATGGAGTGCAGTCTTCAACATCATGCCTATAACATTAATATAAATACAGTAAGGTCTATTTGTTGGGTATTACTCTCTAACCATGGTGTACAGTCTTCTACATCATGCCTATAACATTAATATAAATACAGTAAGGTCTATTTGTTGGGTATAACTCTCTAACCATGGAGTGCAGTCTTCGACATCATGCCTATAACATTAATATAATATAAATACAGCAAGGTCTATTTGTTGGGTATTACTCTCTAACCATGGAGTGCAGTCTTCGACATCATGCCTATAACATTAATATAATATAAATATGGTCAGACAAAATGTCAACACCTGGTATTTCAATGGTAAGTAAAGTGACAAAATGTCAACACATGGTATTTCAATGGTAAGTAAAGTCTAACAGCTTGTTACAGATGGTAAAGTTGTACTTGTATTAACATTGAGCAAGAAACATTGAAACATGAACTTGTCTGACAACAATCAACGATGATGCTGAACATTGACCACTAGGGATGGGACACAGGCCCGTAGCCAGGGGGTTCGATGGGTTCAAGCGAACCCCCCATGCCAAAAAAATCTTTCAAAACCATGCAGTTTTTCATCATTCTGAGCACTCTTAAATGATTTTTGCCATTTTTGGACCAAAATTGTCACAAGTGAACCCCCCCCTGGAATTGTCACAAGCGAACCCCCCCTGGAATTGTCACAAGCGAACCCCCCTTGGCAAATCCTGGCTACGGGCCTGGGACAGTTACCCAAAACTGTCCTGTTCTGCAGCAATGTATTTGGTTTTGGTATCAGATCTCATCACATAAGGTAGCACTTTAGGAATGGGAGAGGACACATCAATCCCTTTGATGCCATTGTCATATTTGCTTCTGTCAATCTTTGACACCGATGCCTGGCCGATGAGTATTTTGTTAAAAACTGAATGCAATTTGAACAAAATACTTATTGGCCAGGCGCAGGTACTAAAAATCTAAGGAAACTCTTCTTAAGACCCTTAACAGGTTTTAAGAGGGTTATAAAATTCCATACCCCTATTTGAAGGGCTTTTAAGGTCATATCTGAAAATAATTGCTGCTGTTAACATGGCCAAGGGGGACACATTGACTAGTAATGTGGTGTAAAATTGAACTTTATTTTGACAAAACACTAACTTTTAAAATAACTGTAACTTTTTCTCATTAGGGAATTAAACCATGATATTTGGCAGATTAATGTAACTTTGGATAAGCTTTAAGATGATATATGACACATACTATGAGGACACTGGAAAATGTCTGTCTAGGGGGCTCCATACTTTCGGGACACCCTGTACAATGTATGATGTGATGACAATTATGACATATTAATAATACACTTACCAGCTTGCATCAATTAGATAAAGCACCAGTGAACTTAGACTGAGAATACATGACAGGGTCACCTGGAAGCAGAAGAGTACAAACATCCTAAAGACATTTAGACAAGTTTGTAGAACCATGATTGTCAGGCCAATAAAGAAAGATTCATTCCCCTTACATATTTCATGACAACCTGCAGTTTACCCCATTTAATTGAAACTTCATGCAAGACTAAAATCTTAAGAAAATATTTCGAAAAGACACTGTATATTATATATTACAAAACGTATAGAAGCTAAACCTACAGTTATATGCTACATGCTGTATTTTGCTTTGCTCACTTTATGTAAATGATTTAATATTTTTGTACAAAATTCAATTTATAAACATTTTTATGCATTAGATTAATATTCAAAAGAACCAAACATATATTTTTGAAATAATAAAACTTACCAAGACTCGTCCTGTGACTGTTTGCCCAGACACTAACTCAGCAGCTCTGCTATGAGCCATTGTGCCAAGAGTCGCCTCTGCAGGCTCCTTAGCACTAAGACGACGAAGGTCATTTTCATTATTAAGAACACCATTCTCCTTCTTGGTATTTTTCAATATCTCAATGGTACTTGTTTGAAAATCAACGTTTTCATTGACATACTCCAAGGGTTGTGTGGATTTTAGTCTATTTTGGTGACGCAGTTTTTGCTGCAGTCGACAAAACTGGATCAGGCGTACAAGAAGAATAAGAATGAGGCCAGCTACGAAGGCAACCAAACTGGAGGCCAGGAAGTAGTACCAGTGCCGATTCTGAAGGCATTCTTCCTTCGGGGAAAGTGAAGTCCCGTTATCACCCATTTTTATGGATTCAGTGTGATATAAACACTACATCTGAAAAACATGATTATAAAGCATGACTACATATACGAGGGTGGTTCATAAATTAAGGTGCACTTTGATCTCATTTGAAAACTATACATTCAATCGATGTTAAATTTTCAGATTTGATTATTTATGAAAGTTATGAAAGTTGCAACATTTCTGTGAGGTTTTGTAACTTATAATACCTCTAGACGAGTAGGGATTTGCAAAAAATAAAATAAAAAAGGATCGACTGACCCTGTTGGGTTTCTTGGTATTTTTGGAAAGCTGTGCATCACCACAACATCTTCTACTTAATAAGAAGTTCTGAAAATGGTCCCGTTGCCATGGAAACGGACGCTGAATAAAATACCTGCTATTAACAGTATTCGAATCACCAATAACATGTTTTGTTATATAACTATTCCATTTCTTATCTGTTTTAAATAATCTTGGTACCAAATGAAAGCATATTGAGTGCCCTTTCAGATAAAGTATAATTTATGCAAATCAGCTCATTTGCATATCTTCTGTGACGTCATAATTGTGATTTTTCCTAATATTTTGAGCAAGTTATTAAAATACATGTTATAAATACCCCTTTGAATTAAATAAGTGTAGTAAAGTTGTATATATTCATAAAATACAAATGTAGGAGAACCAGGCTTTATTTTGATATACATAACATATCTCAATCAGTTAAAGCGATATAGCCCACGTCCTTTTAATTAGTACATAACTGGAAAAATAACAGCAAAAGTAGACCTATTTTATGGTACAACTTGTATTTTACAAAATATGAACTAGCCTTATGTAAATTATGGGGGGTTGAGACGGTAAACGCTGATATTAGCAGGTAGACCTCAGACCATACTGGGTATCTTTAGAAAGCTAAGGCTCTACTATATCTTCCACATAATGAGAAGTTCTGAAAATGGCGCCGTTGCCATGGAAACGGACGCCGTTTAAAATACCTGCTATTAATAGTATAAATATCACCAATAACATGATTTATTTGATAACTTCTCCATTTATTATCCATTTTAAATAATCTTGGTACCAAATGAAACCATGTCGAATGCCCTTTCAGAAAAATTACGATTTATGCAAATTAGCTCATCTGCATATATTTTGTGACGTCATAATTGCAATTTTTCCTAATATTTTTTAGCAAGTTATTAAAATACATGGGATAAATAACCCCTTTAAATTATATAATTGTAGTAAAATTGAATATCTTCATTGAACACAAATGTAGCCTAGACAGGCTTTATTGAGATATATAGATCATATTTCAATCAGTCTGGGAGATATAGCCTACATCTCTTTAGTTAGTACATAACTGGAAAAAATACAGCAAAAATAGACCTACTTATGGTATTTTACAAAATATAAACCAGTCTCATATTAATTATGGGTGCTGAGATGGAAAACGCTGATATTAACAGGTAAACCCAAGACCTACTGGGTCTCTTGGTATCTTTAGAAAGCTAAACATCTTTACTCAATCTTCCGCATAATGAGACATTCTGTAATTGGTCCCGTTGCTATGGAAACGGACTAATAAAAACAAATAAAAATAATACACTAGGTATTGGCAATATCGTGATCATGAAAAAAATGTTTGTCTCAAAACTTTCCTATTTATTATCCATTTTGAGTAATATTGGAATCAAATAAAAGCTCGTTATTTCAGTTACAGTGCAATCTATGCAAATTAGCTCATTTACATATCCTTTGTGACATCATAATAGTATAGTTTCTTGGGGCCATTGGAGGCCATCGTACAGCTTCTACTAGGGGCTATCATATAGCTTCTGGGTCTACTGGAGGCCATTCTATATCTTCTGGGGGCCACCGTATAGCTTCTGGGTGCCACCATATAGCTTCTTGAGGCCATCGTATTGCTTCTTTGGCCCACCATGTAGCTTCTTGGGGCCACTAGGGGCCCCTGTATAGCTTCTGGGGGTCACTGTAAAGCTTCTTGGGGCTATTGGGGCCTACCATATAGCTTCTAGGGCTACTAGGGGCCCTTTGTATATCTTCTGGGGGCCACCATATAGCTTTCCGGGGCCACTGTATAGCTTTAAGGGGGCACTAGGGGCCACTGTATAGATTCTGGGGGCCTTTGGGGCCCACCGTACGGTTTCTCGGGGCTATCATATAGCTTCTGGGGCCACTGGGAACCATCATATAGCTTCTGGGGGCCACCGTATAGCTTCTTGGGGCCATCATATTGCTTCTTTGGCCCACCATGTAGCTTCTTGGGGCCACTAGGGGCCCCTGTATAGCTTCTAGGGGCCACTGTCAAGCTTCTTGGGGCTACTGGGGCCCGACATATAGCTTCTGGGGGCTACTAGGGGCCCTCTGTATAGCTTCTGGGGGCCACCATATAGCTTTCCGGGGCCACTGTATAGCTTTAGGGGAGCACTAGGGGCCACTGTATAGATTCTAGGGGCTACTTAGGAGGGCCCTGTATAGCTTCTAGAGGCCATATTGGGGACCACCGTACAGTTTCTGGGGGCTAACATATAGCTTCTAGGGCTACTGGGGGCCATCGTGTAGCTTCTGGGGGCCCTTTGTATATCTTCTGGGGGCCACCATATAGCTTTCCGGGGCCACTGTATAGCTTTAAGGGGGCACTAGGGGCCACTGTATAGATTCTGGGGGCCATTGGGAGCCACTGTACAGTTTCTGGGGGCTATCATATAGCTTCTGGGGGCTATCATATAGCTTCTGGGGGCTATCATAAAGCTTCTTGGGGCTACTGGAGGCCATCCTATAACTTCTGGGGGCCACCCTATAGCTTCTGGGGGCTACTGGAGGCCATCCTACAGCTTATTATAGCTTCTGGGGGCCATCAAATAGCTTCTTGGGCCCACCATATAGCTTCTTGGGGCCACTAGGGGCCCCTGTATAACTTCTGGGGCCACTGTAAAGCTTCTTGGAGCCACTGGGGGCCACCACATAGCTTCTGGGGGCTACTAGGGGCCCTCTGTATAGCTTCTGGGGGCCATCATATAGCTTTCCAGGGCCACTGTGTAGCTTTAGGGGAGCACTAGGGGCCACTGTATAGATTCTGGGGGCTACTCAGGAGGGCCCTGTATAGCTTCTGGAGGCCATATTGGGGACCACCGTACAGTTTCTGGGGGCTAACATATAGCTTCTAGGGCTACTGGGGGCCATCGTGTAGCTTCTGGGGGCCCCTGTATAGCTTCATGGGGCCTCCTATAGCTTCTGGGGGCCACCATATAGCTTCTAGGGGCCATTTGGAGCCCCTATGTAGCTTCTGGGGGGCCCTGTATAGCTTCTGAGGGTCACCATATAGCTTCTAGGGGCATTTAGAGCCCCTGTATAGCTTCCGGGGGCCAACATATAGCTTCTGGGGGCTACTAGAGGCCCCTGTATAGCTTCTGGGGACCACCTTATAGCTTCTTGGGACCATTGGGGGCCTTTGTATAGCTTCTGTGGCTACTGAGGGCCACCATACAGCTTCTGGGTCTGGGAGCCACTATTTAGCTTCTGAAGGCCACTTGGGGCCCCTGTATAGCTTCTTGGGGCCACTGGGGACCTAGTAAATTAATGTATTTTGCCAGTTTCACCAAAATAATCAAATTGGTGGCTGGCGAGATGGGGTAAAATTAAGTTATAATCTTTTGAACAAATTCATGTGACTATTTATCTCTAAATCAGCACTTTCTTTTACCTAGGGAGCATAACCTTTTCAAGAAGTGTTATTTTGGACCACCTTTTTAAAGAAATTGAAATGTAAAAACCTGATTTTCAAGTGATGTTACCATAGCAACTGAAATGTTATATATATTACATAAACCATATGATGAATTATTTCATCTTTACTTCTAATCATGTATATAATAGATAAGTATATACTTCAGATGCTTTAAGAATCAAGAATATGAAGAAAATTATGAAAATCAGCAAAATAATGCATTCTACGGTCACAAATAGTGTTCTGTTACTGTTGCTATAGCAACAGATTAAGATTTTTTCTTGATTTTTGTCACACATATCAAGCATCATACTAAAACTAATTCAAGTTAATATATTTATTAGTGTCTGAGATATGAGGGTGCCTTATAGTACCCCCTGTATATTTTATCAGGGGGTTATAAGAAATGCTCTGTAGAGAGTTGCCCAATTTGTGTAAATTTGGAAATATTTGAGCAATTGTGTAAAAAAATATGTGATATTTTGTGAAAAGTGTTCAAATTAGACAGGTTAATTTTTTGAACATGAGTGTTCACTATTCGAATTTGGAGGTGGTCAGATTTCAATGGGAGGAAAAAATGAGACCAGAAAAAGATGTTTGGATATGCCTTTGATTGAGGCAAACTAATACTTTTCCTATAATACCACAAAATATATGTAAAGTTTGGTCTATATCACTCAGGAATGAATAATTGAACTATTTAAAGAGGGTACATTCTGTATTTCCTATCCTGGTGGAGATCTACTCTATTTATCAAAATGATGATGTGTTGTGTTACATTCATCATATCGGCATATGGAGATATGACAGGTTTACTACACTTGTTTAATAGAAGATGATTTATGACATATATAATAAGTTGATAAAAATGGTATAAAAATATCAAATATGATTATTTAAAATGGATAAGAAATGAAAGAGTTATACAAAGCAGTTTATTTGTGATTTAAATAGTGTTATTAGCAGGTATTTTAATTAGTGTATGTTTCCATGACAACGGGACCATTTTCAGAACTTCTCATTATGTAGAAGATGTAGTCGAGATGCTTAGCTGTCAAAAGATATCATCAGCGTCTGGGGTCTACCTGCTAATATCAGTGTTTTCCATATCAGGCCCACATATTTTATTTAAGGCTGGCTCATATATGGTAAAATACCATAAAATAGGTCTACATTTTGCTGTTTATTTTCCAGCTATGTTCTAATTAAAAAAGATGTAGGCCATATCATCTAGACTGTTTGAACTATGTTCTATATATCAAAATAAAGCCTGTCTGTCCCATATGTATCTTCTATGAAA